TTTGAGTTCTTTATATATTCTAGAGATTAGTGCTCTCTCTCTGATGTGCGTGTGGTAAGAATTTGTTCCCAATTAGTAGGCTCTCTGTTCACCTCGCTGATTGTTTCTTTTGCTGAGAAGCAGCTTTTTAGTTTGAATCCATCCCATTTATTGATTCTTGATATGAATTCTTGTACTATAGGAATCTTATTAAGGAACCTGGGGCCTAATCTGACATGATGGAGATTTGGGCCAATTTTTTCTTCTAAAAGACATAGTGTCTCTGGTTTAATTCCTAGGTCTTGATCCACTTTGAGTTTAGTTTTGTGCATGGTGAGAGGGAGGGGTTTAATTTAATCTTGTTGCATATGGATTTCCAATTTTCCCGCTCCATTTGTTGAAGAGGCTATCTTTTCTCCAACGTACGTTTTTGGTGCCTTTGTCAAATATAAGATAGCTATAATTATGTGGGTTAGTCTCTGTGTTCTCCATTCTGTACCATTGGGATGGAACCACCATTTGACCCAGCTACCCACTCCTCAGTCTATATCCAAAGGACTTAAAAACAGCATACTAAAGGGACACAGCCATATCAATGTTTATAGCAGCACAATTCACAATAGTTATATGGAACCAACCTAGATGCCCTTCAGCAGATGAATGAATAAAGAAAATGTGGTATATACACACAATGGAATATTATTAAACATTAAAAGAGAATAAAATAATGGCACTTGCAGGTAAATGAATGGAGCTGGAGAATATAATGCTAAGTTAAATTAGCCAATCCCAAAAAACTAAATGCCATTATTTTATTTTCTCTGATTTAAGGATGCTGATTCATAATATGCTGCAGGGGCAGGAGGGGGGGATTAAATGAACTCTAGTTAGGGCAAAGGGAAAACGGGGAGGGAAGAGAGGGGGGCATAGGGGTAGGAAAGACAGTGGAATGTGATGCTCATCATTACTCTTAAGTACATGTATGAAGACCACAAAGGATGTAACTCTACTTTGTGTACAACCAGAGATATGAAAAGTTGTGCTCTATATGTGTAATATAAATTGTAACGTATCCTGTTGTCATACATAACAAACTTTTTAGAAATTTGTTCTTTGATGCACAGAAGTTTTTGTTTGATGTATTTGTTTGTTTAATTTTGTTATTATTGCCTGTGATTTTGGTGCCACACCCAATACATTATTAACAATTCCAATACTGTAAAGCTTTTTTTTCTATTTTCTAAAAAATTAATAAAAAGATTCCACACAAAAAAATTTTAAAGAAACCTAACTATAATTAATCAATGAAGTTAGTAAATTATCAGATGTAAGATGAACACACCAATCAATTGTATTTCTTTGTTAAAATTTTTAGTTATAGATGGATCCCCTTCCCCTTCACTTTCCCCCTCCCCTCCCCTTCCTCTTCCCCTCTCTTTCCCTTTCCTTTCCATGTGGTGCTGAGGATCAAGCCAAGGGCCTCATACCTTCAAGGCAAGCACTCTACCACTGAGCTACAGTCCCAGCCCACCAATCAATTGTATTCTATGTACTAATAATAAACAATTTGAAAAATAAATTAAGAAATCAATTCTATTTACAGCAGCATTAAACATAAATAGTAATTACCTAAGGAGATAAAAACTACATAAAATTATTGAAAGAAATTGAAGAATACATAAATAAGTAGAAACATATCCCATATTCATAGTCTGGAAGATTAACTATTGTTAGGATGTCAATACTACTCAAAGTGATCTACAGATTCCCTATAATCCCTATCAAAAACCTATGGGCCTTTGATATAAAGTAGAAAAATTCATCCTATAATCCAAAGGGAATTTCAAGAGATCTTGAAGAGTCAAACAATTTCAAAAGGGAGGAATAAAATTAAAAGACTCATATTTCCTAACTTCAAAACATCACAAAGCTATAGAAATCAGAATAGCATGGTATTAACATAAAGACAGACATATAAACCAATAGAACAGAGATATCGGAAATAAACCCTTGCACATATGATCAACTGGTATCCAAAAAGAAAATAGAAAAAAAAAAGCTTTACAGCTTTGGAATTGTTAATAATGTATTGGGTGTGGCACCAAAATCACAGGCAATAATAACAAAATTAACATCAAACAAAAACTTCTGTGCATCAAAGAACACAAGAATGCCAGATGCAGTGATGCATACTTTTAATCCCAGTAACTCAGGAGGATAGCAAGTTTGAGACCAGACTCAGCAGCTTAGCAAAGGCCCTAAGCAACTCAGTAAGACATTGTCTATAAAAAAGGGCTGGGGACTTAGCTTAGTTGTTAAGCACTCCTCGGTTCAAACCCCAGTACTCAAAAAAAAAAAAAAAACAGAATGGGAGAGAATATTTTCAAATCATGAGTTCAAAGCAAGCCTCAGCAAAAACGAGGCACTAAGCAACTCAGTGAGACCTTGATCCTCCTGCCTCAGCCTCTGAAGCCACTGAGATTATAGGCATGTGCCACTGTGCCCTCCTGTCTTCATGTTCTTGATTGGATATTAACATTTGAATTGGTAGACTGAGTAGGAAGACCTGCCTTTACCAGTGTGGATGGACTAGAGTAGAATAAAAAGGTAGTCAAAGGGCAAATATGCTCTCTCCTTGAACTGGAACATGTATCTTCTGCCCCCCCCCCCAAAAAAAAAAAAAAAACATGAAGAGTGAGCCTACAGAATGGGAGAAAATCTTTGCCACCTGTATCACACAGGATTAATCTCCAGGATATATAAACAACTCAAAAAACTTAACCCTTAAAAAAAAAAAATCCACAAATAACCCAGTCAGTAAATGGGCAAAGGAACTGGACAGGTACTTCACAGAAGAGGAAATATGATTGGGCAACAAATTTATTAAAAAAATGTTTGACTCTAGCAATTAGAAAAATGCAAATTAAAACTATACCGAGATTCCATTGCACTCCTGTCAGAATAGCAATTATCAAGAATACAAACAACATTAAATGCTGGCAAGGATGTGGGGGAAAAGGTACACTTATACATTGCTGGTAGGATTGCAAATTTATGCACCCACTCTGGAAAGCAGTCTGGAGACTCCTCAGAAAACTTGGAATGGAGCCACCATTTGACCCAGTTATCCCACTCCTCGGTTTATAAACAAAGGACTTAAAATCAGCATACTGTAGTGACACAACCACATCAATATTTATAGCAGCTCAATTCACAATAGCCAAGCTATGAAACCAATCTAGGTGCTCTTCAACAGATGAATGGATAAAGAAAATGTTGGGGCTGGGACTGGGGCTCAGTTTTAGAGCGGTTGCCTCCCATGTGTGAGGAACTGGGTTCGATTCTCAGCACCACATACAAATAAATAAAATAAAAAAGTCTGTCAATAATTAAAAAATATTTTTTAAAATGTGGTATATATGCACAATGGAGTATTACTGAGCCATAAAGAAGAATTACTTTATGACATTTGCCAGCAAATGAATGGATCTGGAGACTTATTATACTAAGTATTAGGAAATAAGTCAATCCCAAAAAACTAAAGGCCAAATGTTCTGATATGTGGATGTTAACACGCAATAAAGTTTGGGAAGAGAAGAACAGAAGTTCAATGGATTAGACAAAGGGGGATGAAGAGAAGGAAAGGGGGATAGAAACAGGAAAGACAGTAGAATGAATTGGACATAACTTTCCTATGTTCATATATGAATACATGACCAGTGTAACTCCATATCACGTACAACCACAAGAATGGGATCCTAATTAGAATAAGTTATATTCCATATCTTAATAATATATCAAAATATGCTCTATTATTTTTATTTAAAATAAAAGATTTTAAAAAGAAAATTTGAAATTGAAAAATAGATGCTAACCTCTTCCAGAAAAACCCTTCCTAATACACCAAGAAATAATGTCTGACCAGGTATCTGGCCATCCCTTAGTTCAGTCAAGTTGACACATAAAATTAAGCATTTGTGGAAGGATTCATGGATACACAAAATATGGTATATAAATACAGTGGAATATCATTCAGTCTTTAAAAAGAAATTCTGTCACATGCCACAACAAAGGTGAACTTCAAAGAATTATGCTAAGTGAAAAAGACAGTCACAAAATTACAACACCCTAGGATATGATGAACTATCTTAAATAGTGAAATTAATAAAGACAAACAGAATGGCGGTTACCTGGGACTTGAAGGGATAGCAGGTGTTCTGTGAGATAAAAATATTCTGAATATCTTATATAAGACAATGTGAATATAATTAATACAACTGAATTATACACTTAAAAATTGTTAAGGTAATAAAACTTGTTATACATTTTTAAAATCACAATAAAATCTCATTAAAAAACCTTACTTTTATTAATTCAGGAATTTTATAAAATAATTAATTTCCAACACAAGATATTTATAGGCTAATAGGGACTAGAGAATTCACTCTGCTTCTTCCCTACCATCCACTTCTTCCACCCTACAAGAGAAAAGCAAAGAGGTAAATGAGCCAGAGATACCACCCTTGCCACTCTGTGCCAGGCACCTATTTTCCTGCACAGCCCAGCAACTTCTGGGCATACTCAGAAGCAGCCACTCTCACCATTGCCCCAGTGAATCCAGGTAAGAGGTGGGCTTTGTAGCTTTAGGCTCAAAAGACTGATGCAGTTCAGGTAGCATGGGATTTGCCTCCAAGCCATGGAAGAAATTGTGGTTGAGAAAGCCCCGCCCACCTGCAAATTCGGCCAATCCCACATAGTAAAGAGCTTGACTTCCTTGAGTGCCCTATCAGGAAAACTAAAACACAAGAAGAATGTGAAAGCCAATACAGCCCTGTCCCTTACTGGCCAGAATGAACCGCAGGTTTCAACGAAAGAATTAAATTCTTCCATTGGAAAAGTAAGAGGAAAGGAGTGAACAGAAGGCAACACCAGCAGGCCAGGAACAAGGCTTGCACATTCAACACCCTTTACTTTTGTAATTTCCTCATGTGGATTCAAGACTGAGTAAGCAGATTCAAAACTGAGTAAGCAGATTGCAGCTTATTATAAGTCTTCTTTATTTACAGTACAAGTCTCTAAAAGGTCAAGGCAGTTATCTTTTAAATAACATGTCAATCATATAAAACAGCTGGAACCAAAGTAGAGAAATATATACATTATAATACATTAAGTACTTTCAATATTGTTAAATGAGTTTTTCATATTAAATTAAAAGTAGCTATTATGATTTACAACATTATTTCTCTAGTTTAAAATTCAACCTGTCAAAAGACATAATATACACTTGTATTTTACAAAACAGACACAGTAGTATTAATAAAACTGTTCATGATTTGTAATTTCTATTTTTTCTATAATACACTGCACCTGTGTTACCAAAGAAAAGAAAAGAAAGCCATTGCACTAGATGGTATGAATACTGCATAAGTCAGTGTTAACACTTGCAGGATAATGAATGGCCTGATCTGATTTTCCACCAGGCTCATTGATCACACTGATTTTTACTCTTTAAACTGAGCCAACTTTCTTTAGGAAGATATATTCTCCTTGGAAGTTTCATTCAAGTCCACTGGTAATGGGCAAAATGTCAAGATCTGATGACCACAAAGCCATCACAAAAGATGCCAATATGACCCTACTATTTACAATACTCAATAAAAGCCAAGCTAGAAAACCACTCACTACTAAATCAAGAAAAAAATTATAAGACATTCTGTAGGAAATTTTGATTATCTATAAATTTAAGGTATTCAACAGACTACAAAAGGACTTAGCTTATTCCCCTTATTTTTCTTAGGCTAAGAAAAAAAGTAAATCCTTTCTATTTTTCAAATATATTTTGATGGAATCAAAAAGCTTCAAATTTATAAATGAGATTTTTATACAAAGCAACATGTTGACATAGTTCTCTCATGCTACTATCAATTATTTTTAGGATTCATACTGTATTCTCAGGAAGGAAATACTAAGATTTCTTCCTAATTTCTAACTTTTCAGCATTAATATAGAAAGGGAATTCAAGAAAGGAAAATAGTCACTCAATGCTGAAATTGACCGGCATAGTAATTTGAAACACCTTATATATCTAATAGTGGCATAAAGAGGAACAGGAAGGAACCAAACAGTTAAATTGTGCATTTTCCCTTCATGAATACAGCTCAGACATTAATTTTATAAGGACAAAGTGTCCTTACAAAGCAGCAACTCTTGCTTCAGAATGTTTAACCACCAAATTACCCATTAGGCAGGAGTACTTTAAAAAATGATTTTTAAAGTCATGAGCAAGGTAAAGAAAAATCAGTATGCCACATTATTGTCAGGAGCTATTCCCATGGAGCGTTCCAGTTGTGTACATGGTATTGAAACTAAAAGAATGGTTAGTGGGGGACATCTTTCACTTCTACGGGAAATTGACAGGATAAATAACCCTATGTGTCCTGATAGGAAAAATAAACAGAGACAAAACCGTACTGGTATTTCAAATCAGACACAAAATCTCTTTTCCCTAAACACATAAAAATTTAATCATCTTCCACACATCTTCCATGTCTACACAACTCCTTTACTAGTCTTCTGTATCAAAACTAAAATCATCAGTGTTTTGTGTAACTTCAAAAGGCACATATACATATTTAAGTGGGAGAGGAAGCTTAGCATCAGATAAGTCTCAAGTCCTTGGCCAACTTGCTTCTAGTTCAAAATTAACTATATTTTTAATAAGCACCAAATACAAACCAATGCTTTCATTCTTTAAAGCAAGCTTTCCAAAATGTTCCCATTCATGTACTTACCATACTGTAACTGAATGCATCTTGCTTTCTTTTTTTTTTATGTGAAAATTAATGTACTATTATTATAGGAAGTCTGAAAAAGAATGAAATTCTAAAAATTTTACAAATCCCTAAATTGTTCTCATGACAGAAAGAAGCCAAAAAAAGAAACATTCTGGGATCAGAATTTCCTCAAAGTTGAATACTCCGAATCACTTTTTAAAACAAACAAAATAACTGGCCATTAAAAAAGAAGCTCCTTAGTAAGATAACTTTCTCTTAGTATGTCTCAGGAGCAGAACTAAACAGTGTGTAGAAAACTGGAAAATGGGAATGTCCTGGAAATAAATGCCACTGAACTTGCTGGTTATACTGAAAGATACTTCACCCCTATATAAAGCAACCAAGTGTTTCCTTCTCACCCAATTTCTTGGATTGGATCTAATTTATTTTTTATACTCATAAAATTCCTGTGTTAATAATTCTTCCTTTAGAAATTCAATTATTCCAGACCAATTTACTAATGATGACTATTTCCCTAAAATAAGGGGGGGTGGCAAGACCTAAAATATGAACATACAAAGATGAGTGGAGTTTAACATAATGATTAGTCAAAAGTTTTAAACAAGCTTAAGAAGTACTCTAAAAAGGACTTTAAGTTAATGGCTGCATCCTCTTGTCACCAATAGAGAAGGCAGAATTATAAAATTGAACACTTGAAAACAAGGTAAATTGGGAAGACACAGAATATTCAGACAGGATTCGTGATTTAAGTTAAATTCTTCAAAAAATGCAAACCTGCTTACCTGGCCACTAGAGGAGTAAATCAAAATTTTTCTTAAAGTTTTCAGAAATCCTGACAATAGGTAACATTAAATTCAGCAGTACTACAAATGCCTTTTAAGGAAAGAATGTGTCAACTGTAAGGCCAAGATAGTCACAATCTATAAGACATGGTTTTTCTTCTCCAATTAAGTTAACAAATACAACTCAGTTTCTCACACCATTGACTCATCTCTAATCTGAGCTCTTTGAAATGATCTGTATTCCAGCTTAAGTGAGGAAATGTTCATGCAACTTCCAGACTACTAATTCACAGGTATCAAAATCCAAAGTGCAAATCGAAGGAAATTTTTACCCTTCAGACATGGACGATCTAAAGAGCCAAAGAACTAAAAGGACTTCTGGACACAGGTGAATGGGATGAAGAAATAAAACATGTCACTTATTTTTGGTCTCTTGTTCCTGACTGTTTTCTTTCACAGGCTACTTCAAGAAATGTGCTTGATTTCAACAGTTCAGGTCCAATCCTGTCCAGTGGTCTGGCACCATCAGGAAATATTTGTCCATTGCTTCACAAAATCTAGTCCTATACAACTCTGGAGAGACCACAGTTGGCATTTTACCTAAAATTATTAAAGAGAAAAGGGGGGAAAAAAGCTGCTTTATATATATGTATATATTTGATTGGGTATCAGATTTCAACCATTTATGTTGTTTCATATAAACTGCCATAAAGACACATAAAGCAGAGCAGTCTAAGTGAGGAGGTAGGGTTAGCCACTATGCCACCTGCCATGTGACAGGGTTCTTCCTGGTGGAAGCTTTCATTCTAAAAGATAAGTTCTTTCTTAGAGATGAGAGATGGCTAGAGGCACAAATGAGGCTAGAGTGCTCAAAGAACTTAGAAAATATCAAATGTTTAGTAGAGACAATCTCTTATTCAGAACTCTAGCTTTTTCTTCCTTTTTAACTCTTATTTTGAGAACTTTTGGCATTTCAACACAAATTTAAACCCAACATTTGCCACCTACACAATTCCCCTTAATATCTGGCCATTCTGGAAATGAAATCAGGAATAACCCTACATTTTTTACAATTTTAATAGCTCTTAAATTTTAAATAATAAGAAATATATGAGAATTTAAAGAACAAATAGAACAAAAATTTTACTCACCTTGTCCTCCTAAAATTCCTGTTGATTTCACCACCATCTCAAGCTTTTTGTCCCATGTAAATGTTCGAATATAATCTGAGAGTTGAAAAAGGCAGGTGCAATTAGCAATCAAGTTATGTTAATAAATATAAGCAAATGACAATAACTATTACTACTATTTCTATAATACTTAGCATTTATTGAGTGCTTCAATATGCTAGGGCTTTTCTAAAAGTTTTCTCCATATTAATTTGCTTAATCCTTAAAACAATGACACAGGCCTAATCTGCAAATCACTTTAAAGGTTTTCTCCAAATTAATTTGCTTAATCCTTAAAACAATGACACAAGGCCTAATCTGCAAATCATTTTTTAATATATAGTTTGTGTGTGTGTTTGTGTGTACGTGTGTATATATGTGTAGATACACATCTATCTCCAGAGCACTCTACCATTGAGCTATATCCCCAGCCCTTTTTATATTTTTTATCTTCAGACAAGATCTTGCTAAGTTGCTGGGGCTAGCCTCAAACTTGCAATCTTCCTGCCTCAACCACTAAAGTCACTGTGATAACAAGCAGGTACCACCAAACTCAGCCTGAAATTATGTATTTTTGACAAAAATAATGAAAATGGAGATGAGAAAATTGAATAGAAGGAACTAGGATGAAAAACTATTATTTTTAAAATTTCAAATGAAAGTTTGTTAAAGTACTCAATAAACCTAACAAGACTCAAAAGAATTTTACAATTTTTTTTCTCTTTCAATCATGAGATATAAGTAGGATATATCTATTAACTTACCTATAATTCCAACTACCAGCTCATTGCTAGTATCATCTCGCCCAACCAGCAAAGAATAATCTATAATGAGGTGGCTAGAAAGGAAGTGGGAGTCACTATGGATGGAAGTTCTCAGAACAGCTTTGGAATGAGAACGAATATACAAAGGGTTGTCTCGAACCATCTTCAAGAGGTTTTCATCCAGCAGGACCACATCACAACTCTCTTTTCCAGTGTCAGTTTTTACATTTCGATTCCTAAGTGAACCCTTCAAATCGAACACCTAGCAGAAAGAAAATTCTTTGTTATTTATGAATGAGTTGCCACAATGGTTAATTAATGAAATTAAATTAAAAAGGCAGACAGACTTTTTGTAGTGGTTACAATTATATACTTTTAAATTTAGTTTAAAAACTCAATCATAACTTTTAAAATAGTCATTAAATTTATAGTGAAATAATTGTACAATGCATAAAATACATGGTGATATAAGTATATCATATGAAACTAATACCTAGGTACTCAATTACTAAAACATTTCAGAAATTCGCTGCTCAATTTAATAAACTTTATGGTACATTAACAAGTAATTCCAAAAATATATGACTGGATTATAAAAAAGGATTCAAATTAACTTTCTTAAGAAACTTAGTCTTGATATAAAAATTGTACAATTACTATGGCAATGGAGAAAAAACTACATAATTTTAGGAATAATTGGGTAGCAGGAAAAGCGGTGCACTCAAAGGACAGAGAACCTGAATGCGAGAACCAGTATGATTTGAGTGTAGTTTATAGACAATTGCTGGTCAATTACTCCTGGCTTTTGATGATGATAAGGAGCCAGTGACAGAATATAAATAAATCATTAGACTATTAAGCACACAGTTTAGTTCAGCTAACATTATTTCTCAGATGAAGACTTTCTCCATGAAGAAGCAGTACACTGGATCACAGTTTGGCATAAGCTCCTTAACTCATTGAAGACTGGAAATAATTTAAGAACCAGAACTTTGAAGAGCACTTTTCTAGAATCTAGACCAACTTGAGATCTAAAAATAACTAAGTTACTCAATTTCTATGGGCTTCAATAAATTTATTTTTAAAATTCAGGTGGTGGAAGTAGATCTGCTTTCTTATTCTACCAATTCTATGATTCTAGAATATTGATATGTTACATTTTAGGACAAGTCCATAACAATAATTTTTCTTTATTCTTTTTTCCAAGTCAAAAGTCCAATTTCATCTAGTAACCAAAGTTAAATATTTACTATAAAATAAGAAGTTATTTGAATTCATTATATTCAAGTACCAAAAGTACAAAGAGTTCCAATAGCTAAATGCTTCGCAAAGTCCAGTGCCCTTACCTGTGCCATCTTTCTCCCATAGAAAAGATTTTCCATGACAAGAAGATCTAACTTCTTTTCTGTGTTGTTCTGAGAGTTCTTATAACCAATTCTATAAACTCCAAGAATTTTGGCTAAGGCAGTGGGTCTCTAATCAAGAAAAGATCAAAGCAAACTATTATTAAAGGGATTATTTGTGATCCAATACTATTTTTAATATTATGTGGGTTATTCACATGTTGTAAAAATTATTTCATGATTTATTGCTGATATAACCAGCCAAAGGTCCTGGAAAAGTAACTCAAACCCTTGAATCTCAGAAGTGCATGCAGTAATGAAGCCAATGAAAATATTAGACCCTTACCATTCTCCAAAGGGTCAATCCTTCACAGTTGTTCAAATTCAAGCACTTTATTATGATATCTAGTTTCCTCTAATAACTCACAATAAAAAGCACCCAAAATTCTATTCATAATTTTATGGAGGTGGGGGAAGGAGGGTGGTCATTGCTCGATGAAAAGTAGGCATCCTGGGCCAATGACTTCCTGCATTTCTAGCTAAAGGAGGCATATCCTGATTTCTCAACATGTTCCAAATTTCTGTCTCAACAAAATTACAAATTACAATATTTGCAGTTAACATTGTTAGTCTTAAATTTAAATTGACTTTCATATACATACTAATTAAAAACACTTTGCTCAAGATCACTTGACTCCTTACTGGCAAAGATAAGAAAACTACAGTGCAAAATCTGCATTCCACCAGACCTCAATTGCATCCTGAGATCCAGTCATGTCCCGTTCAGGGAGAACTATCATTAGTACTAACCCTCAGGATGAAAGAAAGCCCAGTAAAACTCTGATTGTTGACCAAGATTCAAGATTTGGATTTCTACCTTTTGTTGAACGGCATTTGTAATATAATTGAAGTAGTGTGGCGCAAAGTCAAGGAAAGACTGGACTTCCAGACGAGGCATCTGCTTCAAAATGAATCTATCATCTAAAAAGCAGAAATTTCAAGTATTTATTCAATCATAATCTACTATCTTCTATAATAAATCATTCCAGAGATCCCAAATCATCCTTATTTTATGTTTTTAATGGATATTTTCTGATGTTACCATGAAAATTTTTATCAGAACATAATTCTCAAGTAATGGAAGGGCTAGAAGAGATCCTGAGAATTTATGGAGTCACTAGTCTTCTACTCTGTATCACAAAATCTCTGTACCACAAAATTCATTGCTAGGTGACCTAATTTTTAGAACTATCAAATAAAGTTATATAAATTCCATTGTTAATAATCCACTGTTATGAAAATATTTATCAAACAACAAATTTCCAGCTGTATTCTCTTAAATAATTTTGCTTTCAGTGGTTAGAGCAAATTGAATCTGAAACACAATGGTCACATTTTCTGCAAACTTTTTAGGTTAAGAACTTGGTCTTTCTACTTTCAGGCTAAAAATATTTCTATATTCATTTTTCATCAGTTCTGACATACCCTTTTGAGCTTTCTAGAAGTATTCTTTCTCTTTACCTTTGGAGAGCTCAGAACTAGAGTTTACTAAGGTAAGGACTTGATCAATGCCTGAATCTCATTACAAACACATAGAGGTATATTATTTTAAATATTTTATTAAATCCTCTTAAAATAAAATGGAAGTCAGAAAACATCATTTGCCATTAGCCAATACCCTACTACCTCAGTTCAAGTATCATAAATCATTTCAGGGGAAAAGATGAAGACCACTCAACCAGAAAAATGATTTAAAAAGTCTTGCCTTCAGTTGCATAGAAAGCAGCTCCTGATTTGCCTCCTCGGGCCTGCCAGGGTGATGAGTGGGAAAGGGAACGAATGAAATCTTCCTCACTGCTGCCCAGAATCACTTCACGCATCTTATGAAACTCTCCAGCGTAGTACAGTCGACAATAAAATTTGGCATTAGCATCAGAAAATTCTACAAAAGAGTTTTTTAAAAAATCTCTTATGAATCAAAAAAATACCTTTTCCCTCCCTTTCCCACCACTAAATGCAACCATGTAGGTTCCTCCAGGAAAGCATCTTTCATGTTAAGTTGAAATGCCTGTTTATTACCATGCTGTCAACATGATCCACGGGGGAGATTAGAAAAATAATCATATGATCACTGCTACACACTTAAAAAAAAATTTTTTTTTAAATAGAACCCAGTTCTACCTTTACACTGGTTATTGTACTTTAATCATTGTACTATTATACAACTTCTTTATAAACATCACAAAATTTATAGTATATGATACTATTCTAAACAATAAGTTTCTAGTACCCATATAGAATTCTAAATGCTTGTCGAGCTCTGTGTATATCCATTATACAACAGGAAAAGATTTAAATATTAGAAATTAAAGTACAATTTATAAATTTATGAATTGTAACTTTAATTAAATTTCTTTATAAATTCAACAATACATTTTTAGAAACTAAATTATACATAAATAAACCTCATGTTGGCAGATTTTAATATTCATCTCAAGAAGCAGGATATTTAACTAGTATAAAGCTACAATTCCCAAGTAACAGTTTGCTTAATTATGGTCCCTGTCCCTAGGCAGACAACACATTATTTTATACTTACGCAGTTCAACGTGAGGATTTGTGAATTGTTTCTTTTGTGGATCTCCTCCATCTACCTCATCTAAAAGGTTTAATATCATTAGTAAAGGCAAAATTTTAAATAGTTATCAGTTCATTTTATCTTTTGTCCCTGATATAACAACAAAAATTAGTAAATCAACAATAAAAATAACCTAGTAAAATCACTATTAAACTCTGTAAACAATTACAATAAAATGTGTTATTTTAAAAGTTTCAATATTTAGATTAAAGAAATAGAGAATTTGGTTTGAATAATTTTACTTAACTCCTATTATAGCAAACTCAACTCTGACACCAAGAACTTCCATGGCTTCTTTATCAATTAGTGACTAGTTTTCCAGATATGTATAGAATAACACTTCCCCAAATATTAAAATCTAATTCAGGTTTTTTTTTTTAATTTGACTGATGTTTCTGACAAACCTACAAGATTCACTGTTTACTGTATACTTGAAATACATATTAGTATCAAAAAGAACAAACTGTCCCCTAAGTTTTCACATTTCAAAATCATTTTCCAAAGAATCAAGACTCTCCAAGGATCACATTATAAACACCTGCGGGCCAACTGCAACCTCCAGAACACTAAACAAATCTCTCAATTGCTAATCAAAATTTGTTATGGTAATTATTATATTTTAACTACTAATTCATGATATAACCTAGGAGTCACTCAACAATTTCTCTAAAGGGACAGATAATAATTAATTTACTCAGTTGCAACTACTCAATGTAAAATCAAGCAGACAAAAATAAACGAATGGATCTGCCAAATACTGTTCTAAACCCATATACAAACACAATCAGATAGGCATGGTTTTAAAATATCAAAATATAGATGGGCATAAATAGCCACAATTTTACAGGAATTAGAAAAGGAAGAGAATATCTTGGGGATGGGGCAGAGGAATGAAAACGTGAGGATTTGAGTTACATAGTGGGACCTCTGTCCCATGCTTTAGTGTGTAATGTCACTAAGTCATCAGTAAACGTTGGAATATACTGTTTTAGCCACTTTACAGGTATGGTAACTAAGGATTTCTGATTGTATCACACAGTAAATGATAGCAACAAAATCTGAAACCAGCTGGACTCCTCAAATGCCATGCTTTTTCTACTATCATGCTGAGGAGTGAGAACAGTGCACATGCCCTGGTTTCAGTAGTTAAGAATTACCTATGTAGTACTATAAGAAAACTTTAAAAACCAAAATAAATAAACTAGAGCCTGGAACCAGCACATATGGTCTACTTAACACACCTTGAGGCTCAATGCCTTGATTCTCCGTCCCCTCCTTTCCCGTCTGTCCAACCTGGTAGTAAGCACTATCTGCTCCACGTAAGGTCTCTCTCTTCTGGGAAGAGAGATCAGGGCTTTTGCCTGCTGTCCCTCTGAAGAAGGACAACATTCCAGAAGCCTTTTTGGCTAAAAAATAAAAAGTAACACATTAATTTCAATTACAGGTCACTGCAAGTGGAAAATAAAAATTTTCAACTTATTCCTGTGTTAGCAAAGATTATTATTCCACATGTTATTATTGTTGTTTTTTGAGTAGTCAAGCACTTATGCTATCAGAAACACAGAAGGAAAGCAATGCTCAGCTAGTTGACCTGTCAAAATGTGAGAAATTCTCTAGAAGGTCTTTCAAAACTGTCTTCCAAAAACAGTCACATCTTCAGCCAAAAGATTAAATTATAGCTAAGTTCTTATTACAATACAGTCAATTCAACTAAAACAATAATTCCACAAGCTAAAAGAATTCAGAGTTAAAGTTTACGTCTTTTCATCTTTTGTGTTGCGAAATCTTAAAATGGGAAAATGAGATCTTTTTCAGCATCTTGCAAAAAATAAATACTATAGGATAGCCAAGAATTTACTATCTTGTTCTTTTATTCCTAGTTTTGAGCTTCCTTCATTAAATCACGCATATTGTGATTCTAATACTATAAATTTATCGTTTACCAAAATAAATGACCATTTACATAATCAACAGAAAATATCAGTCATAAAAATACTTACTTAAAGTGGTAAACACTATTATTGCTTCCTTAATATCCACTACTACCCAGTTCCTTGCTAAGAGAACTTAAATTTAGGGGGACAGCTATGTATGCAGTCTCAGGACAATGCTCCCCCTATTTTTTTAGCAGTTAGAGGGGGCCCTAAGACTGAGTTCTGACCAATGGGACCAAAGTGGGTATCTCTGCTTCCTCAGTAAGAGAATAGCTGCAGGTTCTACTGCCCTTCTTCTGCCTCAAAAGCAAACAAAATGGAATATTATTTAATATGAGAAAAATTTAAGAGTATTCAAGAGAAAGTATCCCTCAGTTGTCATAACAGTGCTGAGCAGCTTGACCAATGCCAGCAACTGCCCACCTCCAGGCTGACCTATTTTAGAAAAGTAGACTGTCATATATGTTTAAGCCCTTATAGACAAGTGAATTTTTTGTTCAATGTAGCTAAATGCATTCCTAACTGATAAAGTCAATAAAACCCAAGACCAAATCCCATCTCCACCATTGTCTAAAACTCAAGCAAGCTACTTAATCTAAACCTTAACTTCCTTTCTGAAAATAGGGAAGTCAAATAATCCTTATGGGCTTATTGTGGAGATTAAAAGAAACAATGTAAAATTTTCATAGTGCCAACTAACACTATAAACTCAAAAAAATATATAAGTTCATGTTTTATTTTAGAATGTACATTTTAAATTGAAAGCTCAAAGAAGGAAGATGATACTCTTTCTTTTTGCATAGAAAAAGGAGTTTCTAAGAATTTGAAGTTCAATAACTTGAATTTATATTTAAAAATCACATCTATAAAAGAGGATATTCAGGGATGAAACTGTAGTTAAGTGGTAGAGCGCTAGCCTGGCATGTATAAGGCACTGGGTTCGATACTCAGCACCATATAAAACAAATAAAAATAAAACAAAGGCATTGTGTGCATCTACAACTAAAAGAAAAAAAAATTTTTAAAAGCATATTCAAAAAAAATGTTTAAATCCATACTATATCTCAAAAACGAGAAATAGTAAATCTTTTCCAAATGGTATTTCTGTGTTTTCTTCTTCAAATCATATTCACAAATAGAACAATTATAAATACTTCTCCATTTGAAATCATACTTGGTTGTGATTCTGCTTCTGCTGTGCGGCTGGTCTGTCCTCCACTAATTTCAGGTAATCTAATAGGGCTGCTACTCTTTGGCCTGCTGTCTAAAATACTAAGAAGAAAGAAAAAGGAAAAATTAATTTAAACTATTCAGAACATAGAGAGTATTCTGATTCCTACACTAAACTACTAGACACCTAAGCCAACCCACAAAATCAGAAATCTGATTAATAATTTACATAAACACAGGTTAGAACATTAAATAAAAAGTTTTGGAATATCTACTGAAGAAAGTAAAATGCTTTAACTATAAAAATGTATGGAAATGTACAAAAGCCACAGACTTTTATAAAATTTTCCCCTAAGTCCATTAGAGTTAGATTTGTATCTGTCACCAAACAATTACAGAAAATAACAATTTCATTCTTCTCATTCTATTCATAGTGATAATTCAAGCAAATTTAACTAGACTAGTAAAACTGGAAAACCTATTTCATTAATAATGAGACTATGACAATTTCTATTTAAATGTCTAAAATAGTGAACAACCTGGTTTGGGGCTTTTTTTTTTTTTTTTTAAATGTTAGGTATATAAAATTCACAAACACTTAAAATTACAAAGCCAAGCAGTGGTGTACTTTTTACAAGTTACCATTTTTAAAATAAAAACAGTATCTTTTTTTTTTTTTCCCCCGAAAATGTTGGGACGTTTAGAACATACACTGAACTATATGGCAATCGACAGAAAACTACATGCTAAGGGACTATTTAAGGTCTTTTGCTGTACTTTAATTTTGCTGTCTCAATTACTGGCTGAATTGAATGCCATTATCTGGATCCTAAAAATTTTAATACTGATAATATGCTATGATAGAACTGAAACACAAGGATACAGAAAATGACAACATAACTAAATTAAAATACAGTTTACTCAATCATGAATCACCTATTTGTTGGAAGCCCTTCTTCAGCACTGTTCCACAGAGTTGCTTTAGACAATTCTTCTAAGGCATTTCGGTATTCTTTACAACTTAAGGTAGAAATAGGTTAAAAAAAATGTTAAACATTAAGCTTTCTTTAAAAACAAATCATAAGCTTTAGAATAAATTTTGCAGTATAGAAACACAACCATTATTAAATGTCTATGATTAAACAAATGCACTTCAGTTAATTAATGAAAGTGATCAATTAGAAGCTTCATAAGGAAGGTCTATGTATTTGTAAAGAATGATACAAATAAGGACCCACTGACTCCCAACCAGTACCAATAACCTTAGCAATGATCAAAAGAACCTAGTTACTAAAATTTAAATCAAATTAATCCGGGTGCTGAACAGGTAATCTAAAAGAATAAATCCTCAGGATTTGATTAATACAGAATAAAGGAACTTAAGAGTGATTTTCTATTTAAAGGTACTAAATTTGAAGAAAAAAACCTTTTTTTTAATGTTCTATTAGCCCAAAACATTTGACTCCTGGACTAGTAATCTGGGAGTCATGCTTTAGATAAACCAAATGTCATAGAACAAAGAGGCATGTTGGGTATATTATTCTTTTAAGACATTGAAAGAAAATGTCTTCAACTAGAATACTTTCTTCCTAATAGTACAAAATATATATTTCATTTTGGCACCTTTCTTATCTATTGATATACTATTATTAATCAGTAAATTAGAATAAAATGCTATCTTCACAAAGGATAAAAAGGCAAAGATCTTAAAAATTATCATATAAAATCTTATAAAGAAAAAACTCTTATTATCCCAACAGTAAACTCTAAATATCATAAAAACAGAGGCATGTAAATCTTCCCAGGTGTTGTGGTAATCTCAGTGGCTCAGGAGGGTAAGGCAGGAGGACTGCAAGTTCAAAGCCAGTCTCAGCAACTTAGCAAGGGCCTAAGCAACTTAGCAAGACCCTGTATCTAAATAAAAAAGAAAGGCCTGGGGAGTGGCACAACAGTTAAGGACTCCTGGGTTCAATCCCTGATACAAAAAAAAAAAAAAAAATAGTTTGTTTACCCCTGTATATACAATACCAAATATTTGTTGAATAAATATACACCTTGTAACAAATATCCAAAAGGAAAATTTTAACACCTTACAATAGAAAAAAATTTTTGATTCAACACCTTAGATTCTATTTAAACGGTTGAACCACTGTCAAGATACTTTTATGATTAAAAAGTTGAGGTTTTTTAGACATATCAATATTTTTAAAGTGGGTTGCTTCTTTTTTTAATATTTATTTTTTAGTTATAGGTAGAGACAATATCTTTGTTTTATTTTTATGTGGTGCTGAGGATCAAACCCAGTTCCTCACAGGTGGTAGGTAAGCGCTCTACCTCTGAGCCACGACCTCAGCCCAGTGGGTCACTTCTTTAAGACACATGATAACTATGTCAGAAAGTCAAATGTACCTATGACTTAAGGAATAGAAATAGCATTCTCAAGGTAGGAAAATTTACCGAGTGTGTATAGGAAGCAGAAAGGAAATGAGAGCAGAATACAAAAACAAGATATTCACCTGTTATTAGGAAAATATGTCCCACGTATTATGTTAATAAGTAAATCAAAGTAAGGGATACAGGGGTACAAATTAAACAATTACAGGATTCAAGGGGCAGTAAATAAACTCTCTAGTCAGTTCAGTTATTAGGAACTTGCTTAAGAATCATGCTATACCCCATTATTTGAATAAAGAGAAGGTTTTCAGGTTCAAAGAGAACAGACTACCATGCTGAAACAAAAAGTATTTTTATTAATCATTTTGTTATGCTTTATGTGAACAATCTCCCAAATAGGATTATAGACATACATAAAATACATAGATATAACCATAGGAGAAAAAGTCCCAAGAGCAATACCTGAGAGCAAAAGCAATGATGGAGCTGGGTTCTTTCTCACAGACTGCAATGGGCACCCGTTCATGTTCATACATTAAGTAGTGTTTATCTGGATCACTGTTTAAATTTTTAAAATGCATTAAATAAATAAAAATAAAATTAGCAGAAAATCAAATACAAAATCCATTAACACTCTGTAAGTAAATCTCAGGACAATTTTACATAAATACTACACAATTATAATTAATTAAGCAAAAATGTATGCAAATTATGAGAACTTGAATCAAAAGAAAAAAAACAATCAAGAAAAAAATTTGAAGGCAACCGGAAAATTATCAGAATTAGGTTTCAAATCACAGGACTATAGAATAGTGACTCCAAAAAACTTTCTATAACACCAAAATTTTGGCCATATTAATCTCAAAAAGAATTTCCAAAGAACCAGAGAAGTCTAAAATACTTTGTTCCAGTATAAGCTTGAGAGAAAAGTCTTCTAGAAACTGTGAAGAAGACATACTAGTAGTCCAACAAGAATAAACCAGCCACTCTACTGTTATTACATGAAAACTCAATGGTGACTCCCTCTCAATGTAAATTTTGCTCCCCTGACTTCCACTCTAACTCTTCTAGGTACTGTTAAGGTACATTCATTCATTTTATTTAGGTGCTATTTACTCAGCCCCTAATGGGCAAGGTTACGACATTAAGGAAAACAAAACATTTTACATAAGTGAGAAATTAATAATGGTGAAAAAACAGACATGGTAGAGTTTGGAGTGGAATAAAAACACAAAGTTTGTATAATACTCACAAAGGAAATGGAATAGGATTATAGCTATTTCCTGGAAGCAAATTTGCAAAGATGGCTTTCATGGTTGACTTCTCTTTCACCTGGCTGTCTGTGGATCCCAGCAAATGTCCATCAAACACATCTAGAATAAAAAATATTCCGCTTGTATACTAATATTCAGGAAGAATAAAAAAATTAAAGTGTCAACTTTATTTCCCCTTGGGGAATACTGACAGACATATCAATATCATAATTATCAAATGTGATTCAAAATTTCTAATCTAGGAAAAATGACTCTTATGGAATGAAAGAGAAAGCACAGTGAAACATATATATCATTGACTCTAGAGACAGGTTTTCTTCTTTACATTTTAGCACCTCTGAAAATGAGATTATTCTATCATCAATGGTTTCTGCTGCAGGAGACAGTGAGTAGCCATAGGGTATAACTGCCCAAATATGCATGAACTTCATTACAACTGTTCATGTGATGAAGTTCAGGTTCAACTCAGTAATGGACACTGTGGCTATTACACCTGAGATTAGTAGCAATTGTAAAGTAATTCCAAATTTTATATTGAGCAATTTATTACTTAAACAGAAAGCATGGAAAGAAAGGACAAGGCACTAATTTACTGTTAGGAAGCAAATATTTTTGTTGGGAGAAATGGCAGTGATTTCTGTTATTTTTATTTATTTATTTATTTATTTTACAAAGCAGCAACCCTATACTTCATGGAACTTACGAAAGTAAAAGCCCCAGAAGGTAGATAAAGCTGAATCACATTTTGTTATTGTAATACTTACATGTCAAGTAGTGCAACTAAATAAAGAAGTGATAGAATGAAAAGCTCTATCTTAAAAAGCACTTTTGGTAAGTATAAAATAAATATTCTAAGGGTTAAGAAAGCATTATGTCAAAGAATTAGCAGTGTTTTTTTTTCTTTCTCAGAGACCCATATAAGCCAAAGAGACAACTAACAGCCTTAGAGTCAATGAAATATAGAAAAAGTGACTTAAACTGTACCTTCGGAACCACTGGCTGTATCTAGTTCAGGTGGGCCTCCCACTGACTGCTCAGTCATGACTTCAGGTGAAGTAGGCAACTGGAGATGAGTAGAACTGGTAGAACTTTGGCTTGACAGTGTTGTCAAGAAACGATCCTCTAAAAAAAAAAAAATACAATCCTAAGAGTCATTTAAAAATATTAACTCTATTTCAACTTAATATTAATGTTTTTAAATGCCAATTCATATTTTTAATTGCTAAAACACAGAATTTTAGCTTTTTAAAAATTATCAAGGTCAGGTAGCTCATGTCACAGAAATGGAAACAAAATTCCATATATGACTTGACCACAATCAAATCTCAGGAGACTATAACTATCAATCAAATCTGACTCCTATTTAACACAATACTCTTTCCACTATAACACAATGTCTTAGGACACTATGGAAAAAAATCAGATGCTCATTCTGGGGGAGAAAAGATACTATATCATAATTATTATAGAAAAATACCAAGAAAATTGAGTTGAGCTCTTGCCCAACAAAAAGAGTCTATGTAAATTCTCCCACAAGGTTTCTACAATAACACCAAATTATCTAATAAGATACTAGAAAAGATATTTTAAGCCTAGGAAATATTTTAGTGACATTAAAAATATAAATTAAATGTTACAAGATTTTTGTAGTGAAACCTGGGGATTCAGGAATGAGCAAAACAGAAATTCAATTTCCTGTTCTCTAATCCTTCTTCCTTCAATAGCAGTCCTCTCTATATTTCATGTGTTTTTGTCTCCTAACTTATCTTCTTAAAACATATGATAAGCTTAAGATGATAGAGTTACAAATGATCTATAAGTAGGGGGTTAAAAGTTTCTGAATAATTGTATTGGGAAAAAAATGCTAAAATTGGCAGTTAAAAACAATTAATTCAGTTATAAAACAACAACTTATGCAAACTTTCCAATGGCAAGTGGTCACTAAACTCAAGGACCAACCTTTCTCCCCATTTTGAAGTCCTGGAGAAATATTCCGTGGAGACGCATCCATTGTATTTATCTGTAAAGAAATAAATACTGTATTCTTAAGGGAATATTAAAATCACATTTTTAAAACTGTCTAACCAAATGAATCTTGAACTTTTTCATGTCAAGACCTGTTATACTAAAAATAACGAAGAACCACCTTTATAATTTAATGTAGCTTTTACCTTATTAGAAATTAAACCTGAGAACATTTTATAATATTCATTTATTCATTTAAAAATAATAAGCCCAAGATGGGCTTGGTGGCACATGCCTATAATCCCAGCGGCTCAGAAGGTTGAGACAGGAGGATCGCAAATTCAAGGCCAGCCTCAGCAACTTAGAGAGGCCGTAAGCAACTTAGTAAGACCCTGTCTCAAAATAAAAAAGTAAAAGGGCTGGGGATGTGGCTCAGTGGTTAAGCACTCCTGGATTCAATCTTCAGTACCCTAAAATAATAATATAATAATAAGTCCATTATAATATTAGCACAAGTATAAAAACATTGAGTAAATAAAAAATACTTATTTTCCAAAATTAAAAACAATTGGTGAAAAAGTGGCACTGTTTTGCATTTTTTCAATTATCTTTAGTGTCTAGCTAGCTAGATTCCTATTTGGCTTCTGCATTTAATCTGATGAATACACTGTTACGATTAAAGTTCTGGCTCCATACAGATATGTGGTTAATAAAGAGAAACTTATAGAAGCCCTGAAAAGGTCATAAACCCTCAACAGTTCTTGAACCACACTTTGAGAATATTGTTCTAAACAGAAGCTTACTTCTTGGCATTAAGGCATCTAGAAATACATAAGATTATCATTAAGCTAGTAAACTTTTATTATCCACTGAACCTTCTCAAGTCCTAATTATCTGTGGATAAAATATATTTAGAATGACTATCAGTGCCACATGATTTCAATAAAGTCATTTCTAAGTTCACTGATTAAATATCATCACATCAGAGAGACCTCCTTGGGCACCCTACATAAAATAACCCACCACCACTACCTACTCTTTCAGCAAAACTATCTTCCTTATTTCTTCCTTCAGAGCCTTTTTATAATTATAGGTTCACATGTGTACTATCAGTCTCTTACTCACTAGAAAAATATTTCATGAGGACAGTAACTATATGACCTTTATTCCTAATTGCATCCACTATAACCTAGAAAAGTTCCCAGCACATCATAAGCACTTGAGAACTATTTATCAAATAATTAAATATAAAGGCAGTGCAACAGAATTTCAAATTAATCTTTAATCTTTCAAAAAGATAACTTTCTGTTGAATGATGGTATCTTTTCAATTCTGTATCAACATCTTACACCATTACCTTTGCAGTGCGTTCAGTGGGCAAATGGAAAGGTCACCAGGGGTTTGTGCTTATTAATAGCCCTGAACTAGTTGGAAAATACTAAAATTTAAATGATCGTTAGTAATCTTTTTCTTACTCTCACCTAAACTTTAAGGGAACAGGATTCCTACACATTTGTTTAAGAGACAAAAGGAAAAATCATTATATATTACTAAAAAGCAAAAGTTTCCTGGATCCATCAGTGCACGAAAATATTCCTTTACAAATACTAAACACTACATAAAAAGAAAACACTCGCTCAAAGCTGTTGTGATATCAAAGCATGAGGCCCTGAAAAATACTGATACCAACTCATGTGAAATTTGGGCAGCATGATGAGAATTCTAAGATGGTCACCAGCCCCTGATGTGTATATACCTTCTTCCAACTACTCAAACACTGACTTAGGTACTGCTATGAAGGAATTTTGCAGCTGTAATTAAAGTCCCAAGTCAGTTGACCTCAAACCTCAAATTCCAGGTGGGCCTGATGTAATCTCATGAGTCATTAAAACAGAGTCTATAAATCAGAGACAGAGGAAGTAAGTGATCTGAAACACAAGAGGGATTTGACTATTGTTGCAGGCTTTGAACAGGTCAAGGAATGCAGACAGCCTCGAGGAGTTAGGAATGGCCTCCAAGTCAATAGCCACCGACAGAAGGGAAGCTCATTCTTTTTTTTTTTTTAATGGGGAATTTCCACAGCCAGACATAATCTTTCTTTTTATTTGTTTAATTAGTTACACATGACAGTACAATGATCTTGACATATCATATATTTGAATCAGAAGGGATATAGTTTCTCATTTTTCTGAGTGTACAGGTTGCAGAATCACATTGGTCATACAGTCACATATATACATACAGCAATAATAATGTCTATTTTATTCTGCTGTGCTTCCTAACTCCCCTTCCCTTCCCCTCCCCTCCCCTCCCATCACTTCTCTCTACCCAATCTGATGTGACACACTTCTTTTTTTTTTTTTCTCACATCATCATACATGTATTCTGTATAATGATGAGGGTCTCTATCCATCTTCCGTGCAATTCCCCTTCTCCCTCCTTTTCCCTCCCACCTCTCTTCCCTATTTAGTGGTAATCTTCTTCTCATGCTCTTCCTCCCTACCCCATTTTGAGTCACCCACCTTATATCAGAGAAGACATTCAGCCTATGTTTTTTAGGGATTGGCTAACTTCACTTAGCATAATCTGCTTCTTATCACCACCAGAAAATGAATTCTGCCAGTAATCTGAATGAGCTCGGAAGAAGACCCTAAGCCTCAAGTAAGACAGAAGCACTGGCCAAAATCTTCATTTCAGTTATGTGAAATTCTATGCAGAGAACCTAGCTATGCTTGCCAGATCTCTGGCCCACAGAAACTATGAAATTATAGATTTATATTTTTTAGACACTAATCTATTGCAATTTGTTCCCCAGCAACATAAAACTAATTCAGTTAAATTAAGATGTAGAACTTACCCAGTTCAGACACCTTAAGAACTTCTCATTTTAAGCACAGAGATAAATACTCATAGTAAAACAAACGAGGACTGTATTATACCTCTGAGTACCCACATCTTTTCCTTTGTAGCACTTGCTATCACCATGAGAGTATCTCAGTGACTCCAGTGGAGAACAGATTCATGATAAATATTTCAAATAAATGAAACAGAACAGATCATTTATTTCAGGCTAGTACATAAAAGTATTCCAAGTCCTATATCTCCTTGAAACCTCACAACTTCAAGATGGAAAAATCTATTAGATATTAATCAATTATGTATTAAACTACCACTTCTAAGTGTTATGAATGGAATCAATTATAGTGAAGGACCAAAGACAAAAGTTTATTTTCCTACCTTGCTTTCTTCTCCTTGTCTCAGTCTTCCAGGACTTGGAGGAACTGAAGGTCTCTTTCTACCTTTTTCCTGCTGAAAAAGGTCCTGCAACCTGCAGTCAAAGAATATGGTTTGTTTTTTAGCACTTTGAATATTTATAAATTTTCTTTTTACACTCTGAAATTACAATCGTTTCCTATTTGGATTGCAACAGACTTTAAAGTTGTACCTATCTAGGACTAAATTCTTATCATATCTAACCAACAAATCAAGAGCTCTTGTTGATATGACTACAATTATAAAATAGCAAATTAGTATAAAGAAAAATATTTCTAAAAATAAATATTTAAATAATGACATAAGATAAATACAGTAATATATTTGGAATTCTCACCCCGTTATGGTTTATATATGGGGTATCTCCCAAAAGCTCAATTATTAGACAATTCAAGAAAGTTCAGGAAAATGATTGAATTATAAGAGCCTTAATCTAATAAGAGCATTAATTCTCTGATAGGGATTAATTGGGTGGCATATAGACAGGTAGGGTGTGGCTGGAGGAGGTGGGTCGCTGAGGGTATGCCTTTGGGGTATATATTTTGTACTTGGTGAGAGAAGTCTCTGTCTATGCTTTCTGGATCTACTTCCTGAGGTGCTTCCCTCTGCCATACTCTTTTGCCATGATGTTCTACCTCCAGCCCAGAGCAATAGAGTCAGCCATCCATGGCTGAGAACCTCTGAAACCATGAGCCAAAAATAAACTTTTCCTTCTCTAATTGTTCTTGTCGGTCTTTTGGTCACAGCAGCAAAAAAGCTAACTAAAACACCCTCATATCAATTATTACTCATTGCACACTAATTATTCCAATTATTACTCATTGCACACTAATTCTGTCAAATTCCATTCAGCAGCATACACATTTGAAACAATATTGAAGGTTGTTCCCTTCTTTAGTTTTTATATCTTCACAAGCAATCTAAAGGTTAGACCATACATTTTAAAGGATTTTAAAAAAGGGAAAGGAGGGGGTGGGTGAAGTTTCTTTATAACTTAAAAATATGATGAAATGTCTATAATAAATTCTTTAAATTTTTCAAATGTCACGGCACAGCCAATTTGGCAATAATATTAATTAAATTGCAAAATCATACCTGTTATTCCAAGCTTGCAGAACTTCACAAAGACTTTGTTTCTTGGCAATAAGTGACTCAAAGACTGACTGCAGTTGCTGAGGAGTGTCTACAGAGGAAGACATGAGCCTTGCTTGCATCTTTTCAATCCAGTTCTTGAACTCACCTTCTTCCATCTAGCAGGTAACAAGATTAAATTTCAGTAAATAGGCAATATATAGATAACCCTTCCCCACAAAAAACAATTTCTAGTAAGTAAACAATTGACTTTTTGATTTTCTATTAAAGAAATGAACTACCTCTTTTTGTGCAAAGATATCTTCCATTTTATCCTCTCTTGTTTTGCTAAATGTATCAGTTTTCAAAGATGCAAGTCTTTCGTCAACAGCTAGATATACCTGTGAAACTCTAAAACCAGAGAACATTACATACTTTAAAGAAGGTGGGATCAAATTTTCCACTCCACATAAACAGGAAAAAAAGCAGACACTAGACACAAAACCATAACTGAAAAAAGTCCTATCTAATTAAAAATCATATAATTGTGCAAAAAAAGACCTGAAGGATATACTTCAAAATTTTAACAGTTGTTTGCATTGTCAGAGTTCAACTTTTTAAAAAATGCTTTCCTGTATTGTCTACATTTTTTTCCACAAAGCACATATAACATACAATTCAAAAAAGTTATCGACATTTTCAAAGACGGTTAAATGAACAAATATTGATACTTGATACGTGATACCTGTACATCACAGACTTTTTAAAAAAAAAAAAGAGGATCACCAAAGAAACTGAAACTTACTTCTGAAAGAAGTCCTTAAGGTCCTGAAGAAGGGACACCTTTAATGGGGCCTGGCGCTTAATGAATATTTTAGGGAGTGGAACACATACTTCAAGGAGCCGAATGGGAGAATAACTGAGAGAAGAAATACAAGTAACAGCAGAAAAATGAAAAATATTTTAATACCTTGAGCAAAGATATATCTAGATGGTCAATTAAATCCTGATAAGGTATAAAAGAAAATAAAGTTTCTATAAAATTGTATTTTTTAAAAATCAAAGTTACTGAAGACAAATTTCAATCATAAATATTTTCCCCAATTTTAGATTTTGTTTTGTTTCATCACTGCACTGTTATGCCATCATGTATCCTTTTGAAGTTATCCTCATTTGTTATAAAAACAAAACTGATTTTGATATAAACCTTCTCTATGAGTAAGGAAGAGACTCCTTCCTATAATAGGTATAGGTATAGATATTCTTTACCTTTCCACTTCTGAGAAATCTTCATGAGAATATTTCTTTTCCGCCTGAGGTACTGCCTAGTCAATGATATGCCCCACCTACACAGTACTTTCACGGTTAAAGCTCTTGCTTAAGAAAAGCAGTAAGTTCTAATTAGCAAATGTTCCCTGAGAGTCTAAAATGTCCCAGATGCTATTTTAGATACTGAAGATATTTCCTCATGATTCAGGAAAAACAAGTAAACATTTAAAATAAAACAAATAAATTGGGGCTGGGGATGTGGCTCAAGCGGTAGCGTGCTCGCCTGGCATGCGGGAGGCGCTGGATTCAATCCTCACCACCACATAAAAATAAAATAAAGATGTTGTGTCCACCGAAAACTAAAAAAGATAAATAAATATTTTTAAAAATTCTCTCTCTTTCTTTAAAAAAAAACAAATAAATATTTAAAACACATACATCAAGTGCTAAGTGTCAGAGAAATACAAAACAAGAAAGAGAAGCAGGGGAATACTAGTCATGAGAGGGGATCAGAGTAGGGAAAACTGGAACAGACACTCATGCAAAGTAAGTAAACAGCAGGCAGATACCTGTGAATGAAGAGCTTAGAGAAAGAAGAACCAGCACAAGGCTCCCAGGCAGGAACCTACCTGACACAGGTGAGGCTGAGCCAAGGGGCTAGCACGTGTGTGAGGGGACAGTGATAGGCCCTAGGCAGACAGACAGAGCTTGTAAGGACTTATAGGCCAGTAAATTGGACTCTGGCCTTCACTCAGGGTGAAACAGGGACTCTGTGCAGCATCTAGAGCAGAGAAATGACCTTGGTTGATTTTTCCTTTAATAAGATCATACTGAGCACAGGCTGTGGGACAAGGCCAAAAGGAAACTGTCTGAGACTACTAAATTTTGAGGGTAGTGAAAAGTGTTCAGATCCTGGATACATTCTGAAGCCAGAGCCTGAACCCTTCCTCAAATTATTTAATACCACAGTATTGATTATTTACTTATTAAACTTGAAATTTTAGCTTTATTACAAGTATTTGATTATCTTTATGGTAGTTAATACCTTAGAAAAAATTCTGACAGAGTTTCTTGAATGCCAAAACAAAGAGTAAAACCGAGGGGCTGGGGCTGTAGCTCAGTGGCAGAGTGCTTGCCTAGCATAGGTGAGGCACTGGGTTCAATTCTTAGCACCACATAAACAAATAAAATAAAGGCATTCTGTCCATCTATAACTACAAAAAAGTTTTTTAAAAAAAGAGTGAAACCGATAGGTCAACCAGGGTTCAAATCAAGACCCCAAAACTTGTTAGCTCTATAAATGAACATACAATATTATTATCCTCACTTGTAAGGTCTATAAAGTCTATAAGTAAGGATAATAATACATTTTTTTAGGTAGATTAAGTTAACACGGATAGCTCTTAGCAGTGTCTGGTTCTGTGCATTTGCAAGGGTGGAGGTGGGAGATGACACATACAATTTAATTCAATCCAGTAATAGTAGAAATGTTGCAAAACCTTCAGGAAACATGACAATGTACAAGATCCCTTTGACTCCTTACCTGAAAGATGCCACCATCTGGTTATAAGAAAAATACTGGTGATAATCATGATGAATAGAGTGACCACATGGCTCAGCATTGGCTCTACGTGTGTACTGGTGCCCATAAAATCTAAGTTCAAGGTACTTTGCAAATGACATAGACCAGGATTCATTGGAAAGAGCAACAACTGGTGTTACCTGGAATTTGACAAAAATAATTTAAGTTATCTAATAATAATGAGAACTTCATTTTTTAAAATGTCTTTTCTAATACAAACAATATATTCTGAATGCAGAAAACAGGGAGAAAAAAGTTTATAGGTGGGTGGAGCTGAGGGTTGTGAGGGAGAGCAATATCAGTGATAATCACATCACCAACAGCAATACACCTGTATGTTTACTTTCTATATATGAATATATATTTACACAGTCAATGTTACTTGTGCAAACTCTTTTCCTACAATTTTATAAGCTTTTATTCTTTACTGAGCAAGAAATCATGAATATTTTTATACATAAAATAATCTTTACAACTTTTTAAATGGCTGTAGGATTATCCTACTATATGAGAATATTAAACCCAATCCCTACTTATGTGCATGTAAGACATTATAATTTTCACCTTATTTGGATGATGCTGTGTTGAACATCCTTGTACACACATAAAAATATTCATAGTTACATCCTTGAAATAATAAAATATCAAAGGGCATGAACATTCTTATGGTCTTTCATACTTTTTGACACACTGTCTTCCAAAACAGGTATACTAGTTTATAAAACCTCCAGTACCAACAGTATTTCAGAATACCAATCTCTACTTTCTTACCAATCCTAGGAATTATAAATATTTGAAATGCCATTTCTTTAAAAAAAAAAAAGTCATTTTATTTAATTTCTACTTGGTTTCATTGCTTTGATTACTAATGTGAAATTTGTTTGCACATTTACTGTCCATTTGTATTAAATTGCTATGTTATGCTCTTTGCCTATTGTTTCTATAACCATGGTTTCTAGAAATTTAATATATTTAATATTAAGTATATTTATGTTTGGTTTTTTAAGTTGTAACTTTTCTTATACTAGAAGTTCTTCATTTTTGTATAACAAAACTCTTTATCAGAATCCCCAAAGCAGAAAGTTTTGTCTTTAAAATAAAGTGCATATACTGAAGTATGCAAGATATAAAGTTCAAATTCAAGTTATTCCTTTAATGCAATGATCAATCTACAGAGTTCACAAAAAATATTACCAACTATCTAATGAGAACTAAAGGCCTATAAGATAAATATGAAAGTAAGACTGATAAACGGTAGAAAGATTTTAGGCTGGTATATTTGCTAATGCAGAAGGAACTGCATTAGCAAATATACCAGCCTAACAGCAGATATTAACGTAAGTCATACTATTATTTTCTAATTGTCATATATTCCTTCCAAAAATAAACTCCAAAAAAAGCCATGGTAACAATGAAGTTAAACTGGGTATATACTCACTGTAATTTGGATAAAAAAAATATGTATTAAAAACATGATCATGCTGCCAAATATTTGCCCCAGAGTTAGAAAAGTAAAGAAAGGCATATGAAAGAAATAAAACTCATATCTTTTTCAAGATTGTACATGAAAATCACTAGGGTTCACTTTCAACACTGTCTCATTCATACCTCTTCAGAGAGAAATACTGATATAGGCTCAGATTTATTGTGCAAACATCCTGATATACTGCAATAATTACTTTACAAATCTGTCTTATCCCCTAGATGAAAAGTCTCTATTCTTTTTTCATTCCTAGGACCTAGCACAGTACCTCCTGACACACAGATGGTGCAAAATGAGTGGTTGCTGAATGAATAAATAAAATAATTAATAACTGTCAAGATACGGTCTCAATATATTTACTGAACAAAGCACCTGAATTTTACTTAATGACTGATATATTCCAGTAGTGAAATTGTCAAAAAATAAACATTATTTTGAACGTACAGCAAAGGAAGATAAAATAAATAAAAGCCCAATTACAACCAGTTTCAAAATAATATAGATTACCACCCTCCCCAAAAAACTATACAAATAAAGAAAAAAATGTCATATATTATAGTACCAAGGTATATTTACCTGTTTGCAGATTCTGCACCAGGAATACGTGAGAATTGTATGTTGATATCCAGGTACTGGAGAATCCAACTCCTTAAGGATTATCTGCACACAGCCTTGCCCATGGACAAAGCGCCGAATGTGATGCACCATAGGAGTATCGCAGAACATGCTAGGGCACTGATAAGAAGGCCTTTGACAAACAAAAGAGCCCTTCTCATATTAAGCATAAAACATAGAAGCCAAGAATAATGAATACTGGTTACTCAGAACCATTGTCAATAAAGAGCAGCATTCTTGCTAGAGTATTGATGATCAGTGAGCAACGTGTACAGCACTCCTGCTGCTCTGAGCTGCAGCTGAACACCCTGTCATCAACTACTGTGTGATGACAGGTTCCACTTGTTAAGTCATTTCTATTTGTCCAACAATTTCAAGATGATTCATTTTATCCATTAAAACCTAGACATTTTGGGGGACTGGTATTCCCTTTAAAGGGGGAATGGTAGAGATTAAATCACTTGCCTTTTGTCATATAAGTGAGGAATGATAGCACTAAGATTTTTTTTTTATTGGTTGTTCAAAACATTACAAAGCTCTTGACATATCATATTTCATACATTAGATTCAAGTGGGTTATGAACTCCCATTTTTACCCCAAATACAGACTGCAGAATCACATCGGTTACACATCCACGTTTTTACATAATGCCATATTAGTAACTGATGTATTCTGCTACCTTTCCTATCCTCTACTATCCCCCCTCCTCTCCCCTCCCATCTTCTCTCTCTACCCCATTTGCTGTAATTTAATTCTCTCCCTTGTTTTTTTTTTTTCCCTTTCCCCTCACAACCTCTTATATGTAATTTTGTATAACAATGAGGGTCTCCTTCCATTTCCATGCAATTTCCCTTCTCTCTCCCTTTCCCTCCCACCTCTCGTCTGTTTAATGTTAATCTTTTCCTCATGCTCTTCCTCCCTGCTCTGTTCTTAGTTGCTCTCATTATATCAAAGAAGACATTTGGCATTTGTTTTTCTAAGATTTAAAACGAGGTCTAACATACAAGAGGAAGTTAGGGGAAAGGGAAAAATAATACAAGGGGGAGAAATGAATGTCAGTAGAGGGGGCAGAGAGAGAAGAGGGGAGGGGAGGAGAGGGGAGGGGAGGGGAGGGGAGGGGGGATAGTAGAGGATAGGAAAGGCAGCAGAACACAACAGACACTAGTATGGCAATATGTAAATCAATGGATGTGTAACTGATGTGATTCTGCAATCTGTATATGGGGTAAAAATGGGAGTCCATAACCCACTTGAATCAAAGTGTGAAATATGATATATCAAGAAACATGTAATGTTTTGAACAACCAACAATAAAAAAATTTAAAAAAAAAAATAAATAAAGACAAAAAAATAAAATAAAATGAGGTCTAGCTAGCTGACTCCAACACTTCCCTTGCCTATCATTTGAATCACTGTATGGACAAGACATTTGAAAAAGCCCTAGGGATGGCAAGGTTATTAGATTGATAAATATATGAGAAAAGTGCCGTATAAGACATCCCAATTTGAATATGAAGTAGATTACTTCTTTGCATGGCATGGTTTAATGTGGTGTTAAAGTGAGGACCATATAACACTTGACACCAAACTCATACTTATGTTTTAGGTTGAAATTCTGGTCTTCAAAAAGCCACAATGGAACACAAGGAAATTAGCTCTTACCTGAAACAATATCTCTCTAAAAATATTCCTAATGTAAGATCATTCTTCCCATAAAATTCCATTGTTACAATCCTAAAAGAAGAGATCACTTCTTAGAAACACAAGGACCACGCAGCAAATACACTTCATGAGACCACACATTCTGATTATAAAATGGGCTTATAATGAAGTATTAAAGGAGGTAATATTTGTCGTTATAGAACAGGTTTTACATCATCTTGTAAAACAAGTTCGGACTAGCAACACCATACCATCTTTTCCACTCCCAGTCCATTAGTACCTTATGAAATTATTTAATGAGGATGCATAAACTATAATATTAATTAAGTAAAACTGATCTGAGTTAGAAAGAGGTAAAAGTTTCCTTTACAAAACCTTACGCCTCCTAAACATAAAAAGGACTCTGTCTTCTGCTTTCTAGTCCACACCTTTACTGAGCATGGAGAACAGCAGCTCTTCTTACTAAGCATCCAACTGCTAACTTTTTATCTAATCTACAAATGCTCACAAACGAGAGAGTCAGGTTATATGCCTTTAAAACCCCACTTCTTATTCAAATTTTGACCTAAGGAGTCCCTTTTCTCCCAGAGAAAATCCCTGTGGGCTTCCCCAACCCCAATCTGCCTACTGGACCTATACCACTGCTATCCCACTTCCAGAATATCACTTCTGGAAGTAAGTGTTTTGTCATGGAAACAATACTGCAGAAAGTACAATTACATTCTTATAGTACTTTGTCTTGTTTTGTGTGTGGTACTGGGGATGGAACCCAGAGACTCACATACAATAAACACACACTCTACCACTGAGCTACAAGGTACATGTTAAACTAAAGGTAAGCTATGTCATGTAAAACTATATAGTCTATGTGAGGTTCATGTGCCTATGATTTGAAACAATAATTTATAACGTTATAAAATGTGTTTCTGTCAATCAACAGAAAATTAAGCTTTAGAATAAAACCCATTAATAAGGCAAAAGGCTGGGCTGTGGGTATAGCTCAATGGTAGAGCACATGTTTAATAAGTGCAAAGCCCTTGGGTTCAATCCCCAGCACCAAAAATAAAAACAATAAAGCAAAAGGCTGATTGCTTTTATAAAAATGGTATCTGAAGAAAAACTTGCCTAACAGTTATTATCAAAATTCAACTTGCGTGTGTCAACTTTCTTTCTGTAAGTACAAATTTCTCTTCTATCCCTCACATTTTTTTCACTCTCAGGTTATTCTCAATTATTTCTACCCATAAACAAATTACATATTTACAAATTTCAGAGTTTTGTCAACTTAGCTATGACCAGCAATGTATCATCTACCTAAAAACAAGTATGAATGTCTACATTTTTTTCAGTTGCTAGAATTCTGTTCTTAAGTGCAATAGTTTACAGGGAGAAGAATCCTACCAAGGACTGACACAGGCACTGGGAGCATTGCTGGACTGGGCGGATGAGCTGCTAAAAAGCACACACAGTCTTTGATGGTTAGCAGGATTCAGACAGTCCACCTAAAGGAGAAGGAACACATGAGCCACTGGAAGTCAGAATACAACGCAACTCCACCTGCTTCTAACATACAATATGTTCCACTCTATTGGTAAAGTCTCCTGTCATCACTGCAGGAGTTCTGCTGAGGATTTAATACTACAAGAAACTATATTTAAGGAATAGGAACAGTTGATATTTGAAGAAAGACAATCTAAAAAGTCTAAATTAAAATATAAAAAGATACTAAATAGTTTGTTTTCTTAAATACTCTTTCAAAACTGTATTATTTGGGGAGAAAAATGAAACTAAAATGTCCATATGAAAGTCTGACCTGATAACTGAATATAACATTAATCAGAGATGCCCAGAATTCTAAATTCTAAGGTATTTCCTCACCTGTATTTTATGCCTGCTTTTGATCTCTATGAGGTAGCAACTTCTATCTGTTTAAATTCAAATTTATGCTACAGAAATCCAAAAAGAAGTTCTTAAAATACACGAAGCCTCTGCGCATCTGAGGAGAAGCCTTCCACCCCACCTCCCAAGCTCAGTGGTTTGTAGTTTAAAAACATATGTCCATCCTCTAGCTCTCTAAAACATCCACACACACAAATACCCTCATAAGTATGAACACACAGGTGATTTTGTTTTATAAAAATTATAAAATGGGGCTACATATATTAAAACACAACTTCCTTGTTAACACACAACAATATATCACAAAGCCAGATGTCGTAGTGTCTGCCTCAAGAAGCTGAGTCAGGAAAATTGTCAAATTCAAAGTCAGTCTCAACAATTTAGCTAGACTATGTTGCAAAAAAAAAAAAAAAAAATTAAAGGTGGGGGGCTGAGGATTAGCTTGGTGATAGAACATCTCTAGGTACAATCACCATTACCACAAACACACACACCAAAAAAAACAAAAATGTATCACCAATTCTATCCATGTCATTAAATGCAATCCAAATCATTGTTTTCACTACAAACAACTAAACACATTGCTTCAATAAATATCCTAGTACATATATTCTTACCAAATGCAAGTATCCTTATACAAACAGATTTAATTGGTTCTTCAACAATATAAAGAGTAGGAAGACTGGGTCAAAGGCATATAAATGTACCCATACATTAAGATACCTCCCTATCACTTTCAAGAAATTTATAGAAGTGTATAGAAATTTATGCAAGTTGTTTTTTCCATACCCTCATTAATTGTGGATCTTTTTGCCAGTCTCACAAATAAAAAATTGTTTAACACCACTACTATTTAGCATTTCCTTGATAAGGAATGAATCTGAATGTCTTTTTTTATTAAGCAATTGCATTTTCTCATCTTAAAGTAAATTTCTTCATTAATTACTACCATTATTAGTAATGTGCCCATAAACAAATCTTTCTTTCTAGAAAACAAAAGAAAAAGATCACTTTCATAGCTAGATAACAATGCAAAGTGTAAAGCCAGTGCCATGGCTTACCTTTGTGGACCACAATGCATCACCTGGAATTGGCCCTCTCTCTTCATCACTCTCAGTTTTGCTTCCTGATTTGCCACTGGCAGTACCAGATGCATCCTTTGAGTGAGCAAAAGGGTCTGAATGTTTTGACTGAATTCTTCCTCCTCTGGCTCGATAATCAGCCAGCATTCTACCCAAGCTCTGGCTATCACCTAGATGCTCAGCAATCCTAGTGCTCACTAGCTCATGCGAGGGCAAGACTTGAATCGACTTGGCCTGAATACTTCCATTTATGCCCTGAAACCCAGAGAGATCCCTGAGCAGCTGTTTCTTCCTCCTGCTCTCCATTTCTTTGAATTCTTTATTGAGAAGAGGAGACCAGTAAATCTGCTCTGGAAAATAATCTCGAGTAGAGCATCTCATGCCCTTCTCAGTTAAAAGGAAAGGTTCCCGGAATGTGATTACTGGGGAGATACAAAGGATCACATCTTTTAACTCCTGTTTAAAGGCCAAAGAATAAGTCTTTCGTTTATCTTCAGAGGGGGTAACTTCCTCAGTAACATATAATCCAGTGTCATCCTGTAGAGGGTCTCTAAAGGTTCTCATCTGGCTTTTGGGATCTTGCTCATCTATTTGCTGCAAAATCTCTGGCTGTTGATTGCTGACAGCATCCTGTTCGTCCACATGAAGTGGCAACAATGATTCTGGTACCAAATGGAAAAGAGCACAGGGGACACCAGCTGGGCAAGCAGAGGTGGCATACTCTTGATGCTTCAAAGAGGCAACAGTCTGTGGAATACTTTTATTTTCCTGCTCACCCTTCTCAAACATAATCCTGGATTCCAGCAAAGTGTTATCATCAGAGGGCAGAAACTCAGGAGGGTAGTCAGGATCCCGGGGAAGGGAGGTTCTGCTATACTGCTCCTGCACAGCCCCATCTTCCTCCTGTCCCTCAATCAGAGAATGGAATGAAGGACTTTGCATTAATGTGGGAGGCATAGCAAATTCATCCATGAGGAAGGAGATTTCTAGTTGAGAATGATAGGCTACACAGATCATAAATATTAGGATCTCCTTGACTCGAGCCAGTTCATAATCAGAGCCTCCTCTGAGCTTGATTGTACAGCCTAGGTGCTGCAGGCAGCCTTCAAAAAACATCAGTGTTTTGGTTTGTTCTACAAATAAACAAACAAAAAGTCAAGAAGGTTTAGGTGATAATCCAGAAGTCCCAAGAGAATTAATTCACTACCTTAACATGTTAAAAACAAAAACCACCCTTCCAAGAATAAGACTACAGTTGCCTACACTCACTTAACCACTGCTGCTTGATATTTCCTACTAACTAAATGTGCAGTACTAAGGAGTTCATTCAATCTCTGAAATCCCCAATCTCAAGTGAATCTATGCCAAAGATCACTCACCATTAGGCAACTGAAATATCTGCATATAAAATTTGTGACAAGTGCCCAAGTGTGGTTTTGTGAGTAGCTGGTCCATTGACATCACTAAATCACCTTGAGTCATCCGACTGATTCGTTCTAAAACTTGCTACAAGAGAAAAACACTGTATTACAAAATTAGAAAAAAATAAAAACCTTAGTGAATTTAACCTGGAAAAGTAATGGGGATGTGAACCTCATAGTGAATTTCCTTAATTTTAATAATTAAAATCAGTTTTTTATTCTAGAATTCAAAGCAAACGAACATTATAAACAATAATCAGAGTTAAGTCTACACTGGGTTGCTAAGTAATTAAAACATGCCCACTAAAATACAATACCCATACTAATAATATTATCAAAATGCATTTGAGTATCATGCATTATCACAAGCTACTGTGGAGGAAAAGAAAGAAAAACTCCCTAGAATTGGCCTCTATTCTGCAGAGGGTAATCTTTTCAAAGGAGAGAACATTTATACTGCTGTACAATTCCCCAAACAAAATAAAAGACCAACAAATACTTGCTAATTAAACTTTTAGTAAGTGTTATATAATCAAGCAGATTTTCTTCTAATCTGAGATTCTTCAGTCTTAATAATGAAATACCTACCATGTCTTCTACGGTGCAGCAAAGAAATAAAGATAACTGTAGACCTACCATGCACAAATATAAAGTGAAAAGCTATGGATTTAAGTGACATAAAAATAAAAAAATAAGAACTCACTGACTTTACGTTAATGACCAAAGTAATGCCATGTTCCAGTAACATGTCCTGGGCGATCCGAGACACAGTTTTCTCAACCAGAACTAATGTAGGTCGAACATCAACTATTCGCTGGACATAATTCTTCAAGAATTCCCTTTCCTAAGTAAGATAAATCAGAAATATTATGCCTGTTACAATTCAAGATCTGGACATATTAAAATATCAGGATAACTTGACAATTAAAATTGCTTTCAACCTAAATATTTTTATTCCACAAATAAATCTATAACCAAATTAATTCAAACACAACCAAGAATTTCATTAATCATTCTGAACTATATTACTTGTGCTGAAAAAAATTAGGAGAAACTGCAATCTCCAACTAATTTTACTTTGAAAGATTTTTAGTCCTTCATTATCCATAAGTACTAATACATTTAATTAGCTCTCAGAGTTTAAAAAAACTACAGCAAGACCAACCAAACTCTAACCTCACAGCTCCCACTTACTGAGTTTTTTTAATACGGTTATAATCCTCTTTTTTGAAACCAACAAAAGTCACCCTTTTTCTAGATATCAGAATAAATGACTCTCAAACAGACGCTATTTCAGCTACTTTCCTAATTCCAATCTCCCAACTGATCATATTCCACCCTGAATAGCTACAGAGATCTAAAACTAATGCTTAATATGATTTAATAACAAATGTTTGATTTCAAAGCAAATGAACATTGAAAACAACAACCAGAATTAAGACAAAACAATTCATTAACTACTTCATAAAACTTCTGGGCTCCAGATGGCAGACAACTGAAACTGAGCAAGCTTGCCACTCCTATTCCATATGCCCAAAGTATTTTCTGAGCAAGACTATAATAATGTTCACAGCCACCAAAAATGCAAGAGCTTATTGTTTATTCCCTTTAATGAACCTGCCTGTTAGGAGGTATGGTCCTTTTAGCCTTATACCTCATACAATTTAAGATCAGGATATATTAAAATATCAGGACAACTTGACTATTAATATCAATCTCACCTAAATGGTTTTTATCACAATAAATCAGTAACCAAATTAATTCACACCCAATCAAGAATTTCATTCATCATTCTGAACCATCGATTATGCTTAAGAGAATTTCAGGAGAAATTCCATTATTGTATATATTTTCAAATTCTCCCATCATTAACAAAATGGAATGTCTTTTGTGAAATGTATTAATTTTCTATTCTGCTTATTAATTTATAATTTAATAGCATTTAAAGTTATTTATGAAGCTCCAATAAAGCATAATTAAAATAAGTTGATTTTTTAAAAATATTTTGCCTCTCCTATAGGAATGACAAATAAATTTCCTATTCACCCAATTCCAATCAACTACTGTAAGTGTACATGAAACAGCATTTAAAAAGGGGGTCTGGTCCAAGCTCAGCTAGAAAAGAGTAAGAAGAGGTAGACACAAAGGGGAACATGGCAAACCATCAGACCTAGTGTGTTTGGCCTTGTAAAGACAATATAATATCACAGCCTAATTATCTTCTTGCCCTTGTATGTTCCTTTTTCTGACTATCTACCTTTAGGCTTCTCTGATTACTAATTTCATTACTGGAATTGGGAGGGAGGAAGGAGGGGAAAAAAATCATATCAGCTGGTACTTTCTTTCCATCAATTCCAAACTAAAATGTTAGAGGTATCATTAAACTATGTTTAAAAGCTTTGATGAAAAGATAAGACACTTTCTTTTATCTGAATCAACCCATGATTCTTAACTACATATTTGTCCAGAGCTTACCTCTCTAATATGAAAAGACTTTAGTTTGTTAATAGGACTGAAAGAATGGAGTACTAACAAAACAGATGAAGTATAAAATTTTTATAAACAATATCTGTTGGTTTCAATTACACTAGTTCGTTGATCCAAGTCATACAATTCTAGACATCTGAATACGTCTACAATCAGGATACATCCCTATAATCAATAAAATTGTGATTATTATCCTGTGAAAGTCATCTGACATCTTCTGTGAGACCAAAAAGCCTCCGGCGCAGTATCTGGGGCTTTAGCCTGGTGGTAGAGGGTGTGATAAGCAAATGCAAGGCCTGGAGTTTAATCCTCTGAAGCCAAAACCCAACATCAAAGCATCTTGGATTACATGAACAATAATAATTTTTTTTCTTTGAAATCTCAAAAAGTCACAGTAAATCAGAGCTAGAAAGACCGATATAAATCTAATCAAAACCCCTCCATTTTACTGAAAACATAGCTGAATTCCAAAGATGACAGAGTTCCAGGTAACGCACTTCATTAAGTAAAAGAGCAGAGTTTCCAAAGCACTGTGTGCTGGGTGTGGTGGCACACACCTCCCAGCAGCTTGGGAGGCTGAGGCAGGAGGATCACAAGTTCACAGCCAGCGTTAGCAACCTAGCGAGGCTGTAACTCAGTGAGACCCTGTCTCTAAATAAAATGTATAAAAGGGCTGGGGATGTGGCTCAGTGGTTAAGTGCCTTATATTTAATCAATCTCCATAAAAATAAATAAATAAATAAAAGCACTGTGTCTTTGAGCACAACTTACTTCCTCACTTTTTCTGTGATACCTATGAATTTAGAACAAAAGTGATTGTTCCTATGACTCTTGGAAAAATGTGATTATCCATGAATTTTTAAGAAATGTTTTTCCTATATTTCTTGAATTGAATATAAATGTTTCCCTGTAGTACTATATTTACATTGGTGAAAACTTTCCATTTTGAATGACCACAAACTACAATAGTATTTATGGGAGAAAAGAGTTGGGGCAGAAGACTTAAAACCTATGCAACAGCAATAACAAAATCACTAATTGGAACCTTAACAGAGAACTTGGACAGACCAGGTACATAGTTCAGCATGGCTGGAGGCTGCCTCAAGAGAAATTCTAAATGCACAAAACTACAGCAGTACAAATGGAAATGGAGCTCAGAGCAGCAGAGGTACCAAGAAGCCACCCAGAGCTGGAAGGTGCACCTCTCTGGGGAGAGAGTCCTGCCAACAAATGCTCACTTTCAATTTCTTAAAATAGAGCTGAGAGACTTCTTGCTTATGTGGCAGCCAAAATGAGGGCTATAATCTTACTCAGCTATTCTGGAACCCCATACTTAGGAACAGCCCCAGAACCAGCAGCTTCCATCTGACACTATTCCCCAAGTTTCTAACTACGTACAAGCTATGTTCTAGAAATGTGTTTTAGTAAAAATGACTGTATTACAAACTGGAAAGTCTTTTAGAGATCTGAAAAGTTGGTGACACTCTCTCAGTAAATCAATGGTCCAGGGAAAGCAATATTTGGATTTTCATTTTTTTCTTCCATAAATTCCCAGTCATGTACATTTCCCTTTAACACTCTGAAGCTTTAAAAATAATGAGTAACAGAGATTTTGGTAAGCTATTTGTAAAGTTTAATTCATAGAAGTGTCTTCTATAACTAAATTTTAAATAAAACAAGAGCAACAAGTTTCCTTTCAAAATAATTGAGATAAGCGTCGTTGTACATAGCCATTCCTTGAAATTACCACTTTCAGTAGTGAGTGCTTACCTGAAGCACAATAGGATCAATGCAAGTAAACTTAGTTTCTTCTCTGTAGAGATACTCAATGGAACACTTTAACAGAAGAATCTTGGGGTTTTTAATACAAGAATTCATCTAGAAAAAAAGAACAGACTGTTAAAGCTGTTAAAGGTTTGCACTTTACAGACCTTCTTTAATAATTAAGTTCACATGGTTCCTAATTCCTGCTAATTTAAAATATCTCATTATATCAGTATTAATTTAATTCTTCTGGGTTATTCTTTCATTTTTTAAAAAACAAGTAATCTTTTCTGATCAATGAAAAATTCTTTAAAAATTTACTCTTTTGTAACACTAATTGAATCCATTCCTCTATAATTTAACTCTTTTCCCCCTAATGTTGTAAGAAGAGGTAGGAATGGATCTTACAGATAGGCTATCTTAAAAACTCAAAGAGATCAGCAAATTTGAAGCATATTTAATTCAAGATAGAAAAGGAAGAAAAGAATTAAAATGCCTCCTGAACATTTAAAATGGAATAAATTTCTAAACAATCACAAGTTGGCATACTGAACTGGGTAACATGAAGTTCATAGAGAAAGTCTTCAAGCATGTCCAAAAACAGAGTCTGGCCAACCTTGCAACTAAAGTCACAGGCAAAAGGGACTGAGTTCTCTAATCAAGATTTCAGACTGACCCATCTTAGAGACCCCAAACTGGCAAACAGTACTGAGAACAGTGACTCACTAGCTGGGGAACTATATTCAAGGTTCTTTTAGCAAATTAAAGATTCTCTAAATATGGTCAGTAGGACAAGTTGGTCACTCATGCATACATTTCTACCACAGTTACACATGGTTTTCTTCAGTTCCTGAAAACAGCATGACACACTGACCTCTTAATTCAATAACAACCACCAAAAAAAACCCACTTAATCTGATTTAAAGCACTACTTTAAAAGGTAATGTGCCGCTTTAATAAGTGTCTATATGTAAATACTAACTTTGGACCACTGCTGAAAAATAATACTGAATTCAGGCAACTTTTACTTATCTTTGATCACTAACAATCCTCTAGAGGTAAAATGCTTTACAGTTGAAGCCCTTTGTATCTACGAGGTCCACATCCATGGATTCAACCAATCATAGACAGAAAATATTCATGGGCAGGAGGACTGTACTTAACTAAATATGCAGATTTTTTTCTTGTCACTATTCCCTAAATATACAGTACAGCAACTATTAATCTAGTGTTTACATTGTACTAGTTATTATAAGTAATACAGAGATAATTCAAAGTATGCAAATACTACACCATTTTATATGAGAGGTTTGAGCACCCTCAGATTTTAGTATCCCTAGGGAAACCTGAAACCTTCCTATATGGAAGCCTGAGCCTCCTTCTTCCATCTGGTGAATGCCTATTATTCAAATTCCAGTTCATTCATCATCAGCTCTGGGGGACTGTTATGGTTTGGATATGAGGTGTCCCCCAAAAGCTCACATGTGAGACAATGCAAGAAGGTTTGGAGGAAATATGATTGGGTTATAACATTAAACTAATCAGTGAATTAATCCCTGATGGAATTAACTGAATGGTGGCTAGAGGCAGGTGGGATATGGCTGGAGGAATTGGAGTCACACTGGGGGTGTGACTATGGGTTATATATTTGTATATTGCAAATGGATTCTCTCTCTGCTTCCTGATCAAATCATGAGCTGTTTCCCTCTGCCACACTCTTATGCCATGATGTCCTGCCTCACTTGGTGCCGCCCCCTCCCAGGAATGGAGCAGTCTTGTATGGACTAAGACCTCTGAAACTGAGAGCCCTAAAATAAACCTTTCCTCCTCTACAGTTGTTCTGGTTGGGTCCTTTAGTCAGAGCAGCGAAAAAGCTGACTAAAACAGGGACCTTCCAAGAAACCTCCAAACTTTCACCCCTGTGACAAACATTATTAGTTGCCCCTCAATGTCTTATTCTCCTTTTTTTCCATGTTTCAGGAAGACTAGTTAACAGAGCACAGAGCCACAGTTCATTGAATTTCACTGTTGAACTAAATCACATTACCTTTTTATGTGCAATGTTCTTGGTACAAACAAAGCCATTGACAACCACAGAATCAAATTTCTTTCCACCTGGGATCTGATGGAATAATTAAAATAAAATAAAAAAACAATAAAATTAAGTGATAAATCCTTAGTATCCAGCCAGATGGTGCTAACATTTTCTACTACACATCCAAATAAAGACAAGAAATTCCAGGATATAAATCTTCCTATCAACCAATGATTAATGGCATCTCAGCATGATTATCATCCTACTCCCAATTTTCTTATATAGTGTTGGTACTCTAACATACTCACTGATTGAATAAATTAGTTGCTTTGGCAATTAAAACTATTATTTTAAATATCATAGTAAAAAATACTATCTAATTAAATTAATTACCCACTGTTTTTCCTCAGAATAGTTACAGTAATCTGAAACAAGATTTTCTCATAACTGATTTCTTTCTTAAGAAGAGGAAGCAAGAAAGGAGAAACTATTTTGGGGGATTATCCACCCAACTCACACCTTCTGTCCACCTCTTACTTCCTCTGAGTGGCCCTCATGACCCCTAAATGCACTGCTAACAGAGCAGACACCAAACTTCCCACACTCAGCAATCCTCAGGGTAATGACTCTTTTTACATTTCCATTAAGACAAAAATGCTATCAGGCCTGCCTCACTGATTCCTAGCATAGGCAGAGTATTAGCAGAGCTTACCTTTTTAACGTGTACAAATTGACGAATATCCATATCATCATCCTGGTTCTTGACATCAGGTCTAACTGTCTGAACAACCTGGCAGACCAGTGACACGATGATGTCCCTCCAAGATGGTGACAATGAGTCACTATGGAGCAACTGCTGGAGTAGTGCCATCATGTGGTTATGATTAGCTGAACTATGAAAATGTCAGAAGAAAGAAGTGTGCATAGTTAATATAACCAAACACATAATTCTAAAGATACACAAGCAGTCTACAATGAAATAAGCATTTCAATTACACTTCACAGATGAATCTTCTAGGTCAATTTTTATTTTCTCGGTGTATCTGTATCTTAATGATTTTGTACATAAATAAAATCTGTGAATAAATCCAACTAATATTCCCCATTAATTTGCTGAAATGAAATTTCACTACATAAATTCAAATGTGAACAGACAAGCCCCTTTTTAATAAGATATTTCATCAGAAATCAGAATCGGCTTTATTTTCTAAGTAATCTTTGTATTTTTTGTTTTATAAGGAAGAGGAACTACACATATGCCTAAGTCATTGAACATAAAAATGGACATTTAAAATTTAAAAGCTCTCTGCCTTACAGCAATCTCTCCATAGCTTGTTTTTCCCCATTCTCCTCCCTTAGGAGCTCCAGGTTGTTATGATGCCAGCCCAAAGGTGTGAAAGGCAACTCTTTGGATTTTTCCTCCACCCGACGATTAAATAAGGATTCTAAGTAAATATAAAATATGAAGTCAGTATTTTATTGTCATGTTTTATGCCATCTACTCACATATTTAGAAATTACCAACTCTTCTTTTGAAATATTTTTAAGTTAGCCAATATAAAATACAGGTATGAAAGGGCAAAGATGTAAAATAAATACATAAATTATATAAAATATATATAATAATAAACATATGTACATATATAAATACATTAAAAATATAGAAGCAGAGATTGACAGTGTATAGCTCAGTGGTAGAGCACTTGTCTAGCAGGTGCAAGACCCTGGGTTTGATTCCCAGCACCACAAAAGAGAGAGAGAGAGAGAGAGAGAGAGTTATGTATGCTAATTTCCCCTATAAAATTACAAACTGACTGCATTCAACTGAAATCTGAATAGTGGGGGTACTGAACTTTCAAGAAAGAAGCTCAACTCAGATATCCCAAAACAGAAGGTGAAAATGTAGAAATCTATATAGACAATCCTTCATGGTGTTTCTTTTTCAATATTAGCAGAGACTTTTAAAGAAACTTTTTAACAAGATAGACCTGAAAATAAACTACAAAGAAATATTAAAACATGATACATAGCAATTTATACAAAGTTTTATAAAATCATTAAAATATTTTAAAGGGTAAAAATGAATCAAGACAAATTCAACAGATAATAAATGTTTTTCAGAAAAGATGCTTACTCTAAATAACTGAAGTGACTAAATAAATGGAAAGAAAGGAGATAGGTACTGCTTAGAAAAATCCTCTAATCCTTTCCCTTTTAAAGCATACCAATCTAGCAAAAAACTTCCACTAAACAGTCCAACAGTCATTACATAAAGTATGTGTGCATGATGTGGGAGGTATAAGACCTGCACATTTCAATCATATAAACTGCCAGTCTATAAACTTCCAGTTGAACCAGATGCTTAGAAGTGAATTTAGAAGGATTGCCAAGTGATAAGATCAGTTCCCTTGCACTAACTTGCCCTACCTTCTCTTTTATCCAAAACTCCAGAAGCCAAAAAGACACTGGGAAGGGAACATCTCCCATATTCAAGACCTAAACTAAGAAGTGTTGTGAACTAACTGGGTATGTTCTTACTCTACAGTAAGCTAAATAAGGAATGGGTAATAATAGGCTTATATTCTTCTATATTCCTGTTCTCCCCAAGAAACTGATCAGCAAAGTTAGTTCTTTCGCCTCTTTTGTCTATTTCTTTTCCCAACTCTACATGGGAAAGCAGCATCCTTAAATGGATGAAATCGGCCTATAAGCTTTTTGATAAAGCTAACAATCCCTGATGATATGTATATCAATATTTAATACTGTATTCATGATGTAGGACACTATCCATGCCTTTAAAAGAATAAAATCAAATTCTTTTAAAAAGTTTTTAAACAATTACTTTTCAGATCCTTCTCTCAAACCAAATCTAAATTTATATTCTTGTCTTTCAACATTCTCAAAGCCGTTATACACATTAAAATTGTGTTAGTAGTACTAATCAAACATATTTTCAGCACTTCTCTGTCAGTCAATGTGCTAAGCCCTAAGGATACCCTCCTGAGCAAAAGAAACACCATCACATGGACAGTTGTGGATAAAATTACCTTTGATGAAGGCGTCACTTATTGAGAGCTGTTGTCCTCCAGTGTCAGAAATCAAATACTCTGCATACGAAGGAGAGAACAGAGAGGAAGGAAAGACATATGACTATAATGGGCCGGCATAATTATACAGAGAGCACACCCACACACAACAATGTATTACTCATATAAAACCCATCAATGCTTTGCGAACTCAAGAAAGCTTCAGACTAAAATTTTTTTTATACTTGCACTTCATACTAAACTTAATAAACTTAATAACTCAACAGAACCATGAAACAGTTCACCTCAGTTCAAATGTCAGATCATTTTTAACATCATTTTTCCAAATAGTAAATATTCAGATACCAAAACTGAAATAGTTTATGAAAACTGAAATCTTTAGTAATTTGCATAAGCCTAAAATATTACATTGCTTTTCTCATATATAACTGTATTTTAATACATAATGACTTTGTCTATATACAAGGTAGCTCCCAGAGAAGCCATCTGAGAAAACAATGTAAGGTTTTTTAAAATTGCAGAATATAAACTATAAAACAAATTCATGTGAGAGTGACATTGGCAAAAAAATAAAGATATAACTCATCAGATTTTTAATTAGTTTTGAATTAGATTTTGTTTTTCAAAAATTCTAACCCAACATTGCCATTTGCCAGGAGGTAACTCCTGAACAGGCTCTGAATGCTTTTAAAAATATTAAAGTGAAACTTACTCTTTACTTCCCCTTTGAACTTTCCTCTAGGAGAGTGACCAAGCATAGCTCAAGTGGGGTTCTGTCTACTATGCAAAGCAAGCCACAACACAATTTAACTCTTTTAAGGTGAAAGTTCTCCACAAATTTTTTTCTAAGTTCATTTATAAACAAATGGGCTTTAAAAGGAACTATGTTTATGAGCCACTATGATCATCTTCCCAACCAGGAAGCAGAGAAAATGTTTTATTTAGAAAATTCAAGTGCACCATGCCAAATACAATAAAGACAATGTTATGCTTTATTTCTATATTTCCCTTGCAGAAATGAATAACGCTAAATCCTGTTAGTTCAACTAATGTATTACAAGTCTTTTACAAGTTTTACTTTTCACTCTAAAGCTTAAATACAAAGGAGACTCCAGAAATTATGGATTTTCCCAAACATTTATTATGAAAAAATTTCAAGCATACAGAAAATATTGTATACCCCCCACCTACATTCAACAATTGCTAAGGACTTGCCATATCTTTCTCTTCACATATACATATGCTTTTTCCCTTGACCATTTAAAATTACACACATCACATTTTACCAGTACTTCAACATGCATCTTTTTAAAATAAGGGCATGCTTCTTTATAGCCACACCACCATTTACAGACTAAGAAAACTGACAATATCTGTTTTTCATTTTTCTGGTACTAAGGATCAAACCCAGGGCCTCATGCAAGTTAGGCTCTGCCACTGAGCTATATCCCCAGCCCCTGACAATACCTTAATATCATAGAACTGGTCCATATTGAAATTTATCCAACTGTTCCCAAAATATCCTCAAACATATAACCAAAAAAGTTCATACATAATATTTGGCCCTATGCTTGCTCATTCTCTTTTAATCTAAAACAGATCTCCTACCTTTACTCTTTTCCATGATAAAGAACTTTTAAGCAACCCAGGCCAAATGTCTTTGTGCAATATCCCACATCTGGATCTGAGCAACTATTCCTTCATGGTATGTTTAATCTGCATCTCTCCCCCATGTTTTCCTGTATATGGGAAATTATATCTGGAGGCTCAAGGAAGCCATTATTTTCTCTTTCTTTCTAGGTCATACTTGTGATAACTTTCCAAGAATGGCTAAGAATTCTTCTTGCAACATATATTTTATTTTTTTTTTAATTTTTTATTGTTGGCTGTTCAAAACATTACATAGTTCTTGATATATCATATTTCACACTTTGATTCAAGTGGATTATGAGCTCCCATTTTTACCCCATATACAGATTGCAGAATCACATCAGTTACACATCCATTGATTTACATACTGCCATACTAGTGTCTGTTGTGTTCTGCTGCCTTTCCTATCCTCTACTATCCCCCCTCCCCTCCCCTCCCCTCTTCTCTCTCTGCCCCCTCTACTGACATTCATTTGTCCCCCTTGTATTATTTTTCCCTTTCCCCTCACTTCCTCTTGTATGTACTTTTGTATAACTCTGAGGGTCTCCTTCCATTTCCATGCAATTTCCCTTCTCTCTCCCTTTCCCTCCCACCTCTCATCCCTGTTTAATGTTAATCTTCTTCTCATGATCTTCGACACTACTCTGTTCTTAGTTACTCTCCTTATATCAAAGAAGACATTTGGCATTTGTTTTTTAGGGATTGGCTAGCTTCACTTAGCATAATCTGCTCTAATGCCATCCATTTCCCTGTAAATTCTATGATTTTGTCATTTTTTAATGCAGAGTAATACTCCATTGTGTATAAATGCCACATTTTTTTTATCCATTCATCTATTGAAGGGCATCTAGGTTGGTTCCACAGTCTTGCTATTGTGAATTGTGCTGCTATGAACATCAATGTAGCAGTGTCCCTGTAGCATGCTCTTTTTAGGTTTCTTGCAACATATAATAAAACACATTTCAATTGTACAATTCTCTAAGACCAATAGTGAAAAATTAATCAAATCAAATGTCATATTTTAAGTGCAGATATTTCAAAGTTTTTTGTTTTTTGTTTTTTTGTAGATGGACACAATATATTTATTTTTATTTGTTTATTTTTATGTGGTGCTGGGGACTGAACCCAGGGCCTCACACATGCGAGGTAAGTGCTTTACCACTGAGCTACAACTCCAGGCCTCAACATATTTTATAAACCCAAATTTCCTCAGTCATAAAAGATAGACAATAATTGGTAAAGATTTAATAAGCATTGCCTTTAATTCCAATGAAAAAAATCAAACATAGTTAATCCCACTTGTATTTATTTAAAGGGAATGAAAACAGGCAGAAGAACTCTAATCTTTCACATACTCTTTTTTTTTTTTTTCCATTCTGGGTCCTGAACCCAGGGCCTTGCACATGCTAGGTAAGTCTAAGATTATATATATCTATATATATATACCTATATATATTTATATATATAGATATATATATATAGATATATATATATATATATCTACCACTGAGATATATATCTCTACCTCTTTTTATTTTAATACAGAGTCTCACTAAGTTGCCCAGGCTGGCCTCAAACTTGAGATTTTCCTGTGTCAGCCTTCCCAGTAGGTGAGGTTACAAGTATGCACTACCATTACCAGCTCACTTTAGGAATCTTTACTTTCTGATAGGATCATTTTAACAACAAAGAACAAAATATTTTTATCACATTTCAACTTCATAAAGTAAATGGAAAAAGAATAATTCTTAGTATTTTAAAAAATAGTAAGAAAAGAAGGGCACAGAGGCACACTTCTGCAATCCCATCATAGTGTAAACTTAAAATAAGTACTGTACAACAGTAAATACAAATTGACAAAGCCCTACAGTATAATTTAGGATCATCCCTTTCCTGCTGCTATCAAATTATTAATTGCCCTTTTAACATTTTGTCCGACCATTAAAATAAGCTATAAATTAATATGCTAATATTAATTGTGGCTCTGCTGAGCTCCTACATTCCCAAACACACCATGCTATTTGTGTGTTTCTCATACAAAAATTCCATAGTACAATGGTGAATGTGAAATTCTAGGGTGTAAAGAAGATAGTGGTCAAAGAATATAAAGTTTCAGTTAGCCAGGGGAATAGTTTTTTGAGATCTATTACACAGAATGATGACTATAATAACTATAATATAATAACAGTGTATTGAACATTTCAAACTTGAGAAGATAGTAAATTTCAAAAGTTCACACCACAAAAAATGATAAGTAAATGAGTTGATGAATATGTTAATTAACTTGACTTACATTGTATACATGTTATTAACATCTCTCTGCTCCCCATAAACACATACAATTATAATTTGTCAATTTACAATTTTTGAAAAGCTCCCAAACCGGTACTTTAAATAATAAATATGATCACCGCCTTCAACTACCTCTTTAATACATTTCTAGTGCAAAATTCATTGTTGTCTAAAATGTTTTTGAGAACCATCAAATGCCTAACATCATATAAAATCGTATCTATGATATTCTCCTTATCTAATGACCTCATATTAACATAAGATGAAAATGGGGTTGTTTTCAAAATGACTTATTTTAGTAAACCAATGCAGTTGCCCTTTACCACAATCCTTTTCTAAATATTACAGTACACCCAATTCACTAAATTTTCCTACAATTTTTCCAACTCCCAATACCACATCAAGAAACCACCTTAAAAAATGTAACTCATCTATCAATAGTCATCTAGATTCTGTATTTACCTTACACAATTCTTACAAAATAATCATCTCTGGCTCCATGACCTCAGACCCAAATTCTTTCAACAATCTGGCATGTGGTCTGCCTAAACCTGGCAACAGACTCACTGAAAATAGCAGGACATTTTCTATCTCTTCTCTCTCTTGGGCTTTGCTTTCCCCTTAACCATGTGTTCTTTCCTGACAAGATAAATCTTGACAGAGAAAAAGAAAAGTTTCTTTCAATATTATACTGACTTCCCTAAATAACTTGTCTAATTTTTCTTTCTTGCTATGGCAATATATCTTTTCTCAGATATCCTTGGCCTTTTCTCCAACCTTTAGTAACATCTCAATCTTTAGTGCCATCTAGACTCCTGCTATCCTGTCATTTTCCTTAAGAGTGCTGGTCCCTCTTTTAGATTCATTATCATAAGAACATTGCCACTCACAACTTTTTTAAAGGTTTGAGATCAAAGAAGTTTCAGAGGAGTGTGATGGCTTTTTCAACTTCAGGTGCTTCCCTTTTTATTCTCCCTGAAAAATGTGAGGTTGTGCTGTAAAAAAAGGCATTATTGGAACCTCCTGATCCATTCCCCTCTCAACACTCTAAAGTTAGGTTTCCTAAAATACACGTGTGACTGTGCTCAGTAGTGTGCCCCTTGCTATTATGAATTCTATGATGATAGATCACTTTCTTCAAGATTTTCAAAACTTTCTTAACTTTCCAAGAGGTAAAAGCATCAGCAAGTCACAAATGTATTTTATATTCTGCTTTTAGTGAAATGAAACTGCCAATACGTATGTCAGAACAGATGTCCTCTGTCATGGTATATTCTGCCTCTGATCCACATCTGTAAATTAATACTCAAAAGCATCATAATATCCTCCAGGTGACAGTTAATTCTCACACAAGTGTCATGTCTGCTTCACTGTCCTTTCATACACACCCAAATTTTCTCCATCATTCATCCAATTTCTGTTTTGAGGGTTTCCATAAAGATGTATACCTTACTTGTATGCTCCTTGCTAGTCAAATCTTCTCCTATACCACACTCTCTAAATTTCTTATTTTTATATAAAATACCACATCTTGATAATAACTTACATTGACAATTAAGAAAAATTTGGTTTAGAAATGTAAATTTCTTTCAAATTTTTTAATATAGATATTTAAGTTCAAAATCTTCCCATTTGTTACTTTTTTTTTTTTTTTTAAGCTCAAAACAGAGAGGAACAAAGAATTAGGAAAGCAGTCCAGATCTAAGTTCAGAGACAATCTGACCTGAGAAAACTAAATGTTTAAAATTCAAACTTCAGGTAAAATCATACAATAAAATACTTTATAATAATGACTTTTCAGTTATTATGACATAATAAACTCCCATAATTATTCATTTACTCATTCATTTTTTTTTCATTTATGTACTTTTACATAATGCCATGTTAGGGCTATAATTTAAATTGGTTTTAATTATATCCAATAATGTAAATCTCACCATCCATTTTTTTTAAAGGCATTTTATTTTTTATGTACTGCTATCTTAGATTTTAGAAATGATTTATCTAATTTTTCCTTTTACACCAAATGCAATTTGGATATGGCCATTATTATTATTATTAAATAAGTAGACTAATATCAACATAACTAAAAATAACAAATTAATTCACTTTTTATTAGAGAATTTTTTAGTAAATATACTATATGTATAATAGGCCTTTTAAACTCCAGTAGAAAGATGTTTTAAATGTGTGAATAATTTCCCCCAATCCAATTCAATCATCTGAACAGGTTTAAAGAAATATGTTATTATAAAATAGCATAGGTGAATAGGCTTTAAAATGTTAAACAAAGACAGAGAAAAGAATAGAGCAGAACATCCATGTTATAAATGCAAAGAAATGCCACCTTGGAAGTTGCACATTATGGGAAGAGCAGTCAGATGTAGGTCCTTTTAAAAGACTACAAGCTTTAAAGTGGGCATGGTGATACTGAGGGAGAAAACAAGAAACAAAAAGAACCAACCAAAACGGTGTAGGGAGGAGGTGTGGGGAAAATGAGAAAGGGTGAAACAAAACCCACATCAAATCCCCTCAGCCATACTGGAACAGAGGAAGCCAGAAGAACAAGCTGGCATGAGAGCCCAGCTCTCCAGCCTATTTGGATTCCAGATGGTGACTACCTCCTACCTTTTTGGTCAGCAGGGTGAGGGGGCACATGTGGGTACTTGGAGGGCTTCTTGATATGGAAGTTCACGTTGTCCAGCTCCACGTTCAGGCTGATAGACGCGGCTGAGTCACTATCCACTGTGGACTGGAAACTGCTGACTGAGGTGCGCTTGCTAGGACTGGCAGAATCTTTTAGTGTTGGGGAGGGGAAAGAAATATAGGGAGAGGAGGGGAGTAAAAATGGGTTTTATCAGGGTATTGGAGGAAAGGAGAAAAATGTTTTTTTAATATACAAGCCCAATGTGCAATACCAAAATGGATACAGTATTTTCATGTACTTCTGTGTAGACTTAATAAAATTTGAACAAAATTAAATATAAAATCAATTTTTAAAATGAATAAGTATATTGGAGGTTCTGCAGAAAGAAAGTCTGATATCATAGGGAAGAGGTGAGAAAGTTATATGCTCAGAGTTATTTTTAAGCTGCTGCAAACTATAGACTACGGTAAAATCTGAAAACATCAGTTGCCTAACAAGTTAGTATCTCAAGAAAATACTGTATCTAAGACAAGGATTGCTACTAGATGTTTACATACAGTTGAAGCCATAAATTTTAAAGCAGATTTTTTTTCAACTAAATAAATAAGGCACTCATTTTATCATACACACATAATGATCCATTAAAAACTAAAATGTTAGAAAGTAAAACTCACTAGCCAAATTATCGTCACCTTCTTCAGCTATCTGTTCTGTGTCGCTGTCATCAAACTTTATGTCTTTAAACCAGGATGGCTCAGAGTGTCCTTCCACAGAGTTCACGGAGTCACTGTCCGGAGAAGGTGTCTCAGAAAATTCTGTACTCTGAAAGTATCAAGACAGGATCCAAGCAACTGACCCTCAATGTCAACGATGTTGGGGGTATCACACAACAAATAAATTGTACCCAATATTTTTATAAACATAACAACTGAGTAAATTTATTTAGAAAAATAAACAAATTAACAAGAACTAAGCTATAAAATATTATAATACAGGCAATTCCATTGTTAAAACTGTAATTTTAATTAACTAGAAGTCTTAGGTTAGCATGTTACAAACAAAATATTTCTTTGATATAGATTTTACAGGGTTTTATGTCATCCTTTAGTTATCAGAAAAGACTACACAGCATCTAGTCTAATCCTGAACAAACTCTGGGTCACATCCTGAAAAAATAACTGTTATATTTTAACAAATATACACCAGTCTTCAGGGTCATTTCTAACTACTGAGTTTCTCATTTTAGGTGCTAGGGATGTGCCTCAATGGTAGAACACTTGCCTGGCAGGGGTCAGGACATGTGTTTAATCAATAATACCTCAAAAAAATTTTTTAAAAAGTTATTTAGTAAACATACACACACACTATATATATATTTAGTGTGTGTATGTACTTTATATATAAATATACATATATGGTTATATAAATATTTTTTAAATTTTCTATCTTTAAGTAATTTTCATTTCCCTTGAGTTAGAAAAAGATATTATTTTATCATCAGTGCACAGTTTAATAGTACTAAAGAGTCAAAATCTGTTTCTATTTACTTTCCATTTTTCAATCATTTTGTTATACATGAAACTTTTAGTTCTAAAAACATAAACAGTAAAACTGAAAGCTATTAAATGACAAATAAACTATAAGTTAACTATAAAACTAAGCCAAGTTTAAGCAAAACCACACCAAATAAAGTATTCAATCCTAATAGCAGGTTTTCATCATTACTACCTTACTTTAAAAAAAAAAAAAAAAAAAAAATTTAAAAAAAAAAAAAAAAAATTGGAAAAAGTGGTATAGCGCAGTACAAAAAAAAAAAAAAATGTAACTTTCCTTAAACAGCAAGGAAAATCTATTAGAAAAAAAGTTTCTTTGGTTAATTCAATTACTTTTTATTCTCACTGATGAAGAAAGACTTCAAAACAAGCTTGTTACATTCTCATTAGGAGTAAAAAATGAAGATTACCTGCAGTGGTCTGTAGAGTGCATACTCATCCCTGAAAAGCTGGTCATGATGACTAACACAATCCAGCCAACGTCCATCAACCATTGCTTGTCCAATTGCTATAGCTTGTGCCCTGAATTAAGAGCAAGAAACATGAAATATTTTAAAAGTCAGTCAGAATAATTTTATAGTATAAGACATAATCTTTTTTTTTTCCAGTTCAGAGTTCGAATTTCAAATTATCCTTGGTCAGATAAGGAATAAAACAAGAGACTGGGGAGACTGGATGCAAATTAAAAAATTCCTCTAGATACCATAGTAAAGGATGAGAACCTATGGTAAGGCAGTCCTAAAAACCTTATTTTAATTACAGAAAATACTCAATGCATGCACACACTCCTCTCCTTAATGGAAGAGTAAAAACATGCTAAAAATAGCATGCCTCCTACAAAGAACTTACAGTCTTGATGAAAAAACAGTAAATATTATAGATATAGATATAAAATGATGTATGTGTGTATCTGTGTATGAAAGAAACATACTCAACACATTTTATTATGTGGCATTTCAGTTTATAAAGCACTTAGTCAACATTTATTTCTTTCCCAAAGTTTATTCACAGGACCAAAATATTTCTCCCATGTTGGAACTAAAGGGCCCAAGTCACAAAAAGATTGAATAATTTTACTAAAGGCACAAAACTAAAGAGATATAGCAAAAAATTGGAATCCAGTTCTTCCCTGTTTAAAGTTATTTCTCTCTTATTTAAACATTTGTTTCTTCTCATAAGAGGAGAAGCAGCTCATCTGAGCAAGTTGTAAAACCTACGGGAATGTGTTTGTTAGTTTGAAAGGTTTTAGGCCCTTTCTGTTATTCTTTTGATTTGTGATCCTCCAGACATGGCTTATAAATCCAATTCTCAACACAGGTTGTAATGTCTAGATTGGAGAACAGTAACAGAAGAATCTTTTAACCTTAGAATCTAGCTACGTTCTCCAATCTTGCTTTACTAAAGAGTTCTAAGTTTGAGGAATTACCATATGCTTCTACTTTTAATAAGATAAACTTTGACCCCCCCCCCCCCCCCATATTTGGCTCCTTCCAACGATTCTCTACTGGTGAAAACCAGATGGAAGTAAAGTTGACTAATTAGTTCCCCCAAACCATCAAATACATTAAAAAAAGGGAATCTACAAAGAAATGTTATCCCTATATCTTCAAATATGTGTCCTCATTTAAAATAAATTAACAAATAATATCAAAACCTCTTTCTTAAGATCAGAATACCTGGTAGCAATATGTCCATTTCGGATTAGCCAGTTAACCAATTCCTTTCCTACAATGCAATTGGGATGGGTTCTCAGCCAGTACCGGTGATCCTGAAACTCCATTCCACTACTGTGATGGCAGATTTTTTTCCATAGATCCTTTAACTGAACACTGTCCTGCAATACATTGAGAGCAAGTGTTACTCATAAGAATGCTATTTACCTGTACAGATGCTTTCCTGTGATTTTCACATTCATAAAAGGAACTTTGATTTGCATTTCTTTAGAGCAACTAATTTATATGATTTAATATAAATGACGCATACATGAGGAACAACTTGAACTCAGTTTATCTAATTCCAAGCATGACTTTCCTCTTAAAAATCAATGATCCCAAGTACTATATTTTTGGATCAATGGCACATATTATCCATCTCCTAGTTAAGTACAAAATATATTCTTCTTTTTTGGAAACTGGAGAATGGTAGAAGATGGTGACAACAGACAAATCACAATAATCTAAGGTAACTGTTCCTGGTAGCCTTCATTCCACCATATTCATTCCACCCTTTTCAGCACCACCCAACTGCTAGATAAATCTTAAAAAAAAAAAACTTTATCCATTGCTCAGCAACTACAGGTTCAAATCTAAACTTGAGTGACCAAATTCACTGCCTTTCACTGGGTAGTCCCAAATAACTCCATTCTCAATGCCCACACTCCAACTTAAATTTTCTCCCAATTAATAAATCCTACTTTATTCCATGGAAATTCCATGCTTATTCTTATCTCTATACCTTTCCTTACATCTATATATAAGATTCACTTTCTTTACTACTTATCCAAATCCATTCCGTCCTTCAAAACATAAAGCTCAATACCTTTTCTGACACCCTAATTAATGATCAATTTTTTAAATTTTATATCATTCTTGACACTCTTTTTTTAGTATTAAGACATATATGTATTTATTTTACCATTAAAAACCTTTCTATTGATTTGATTTCTACCTCCTGAATTAAAAGTTGAGGATAGAAGCCATATCTTTCATTTCTTTGAATCACTCTGTGGATTTAACACATGATTTTATGTATAAGCAAATGGAAGAAACTAAATATTATCTCACATAAACTGAATAAACTGTCTCAAAGACTTCTCCATGTATATAAGAAACTTGTTTCAGGGGGCTGGGGATGTGGCTCAAGCGGTAACGTGCTCGCCTGGCATGTGCAGGGCGCTGGGTTCAATCCTCAGCACCACATAAAAATAAAATAAAAGATGCTGTGCCACCGAAAACTGAAAAATAAATATTAAAAAAAATTCTATTAAAAAAAAAAAGAAAAACATGCTTCAAATTTTAAACAGCAAGCTGGAACCCGAGAGTTAAGCTCTCTTATATTATATAGGAAACTGAATTCTGATCTTGCCAGAAGGGGTAAAAAAAATATTAATGCAATAAGTAGAGAAAGAATACTGACCAGTTTCTCAGGTGATCTGAGTAAAAAGTTAAGCTAATCATTTCTGTTTAACTGATATGCTATTTCATTTATGTTTCTTTAAAAAAAAAAAAAAAATCAATGAAATAGACATCCTTATGATCAAAACTAGCAATGGGTCAAAGACAGTGTACTAGTACCAGAAGAATTTTGCGTTCATCCTCAGTGGTCTCTGTCCTAACATATGTTCGGTTAGCCTGGGGACTGACAGATGTCTCATATGAAGGTACCATAGGAGAACCAGATCGATCCAATGACAGGTTAGTAATGCTGGCTGATCTGGAAACAAACAAACAAACAAAAAGTAAAATAGCAGTTCTAAATTCATCTATAAATAGAATACAGTAAACATTCATATTTAAATAAATGCTTACTTGCCAATGTTAAGGGCAATTTTATTTTTTTATTGATTTTTAGTTATGTATATTTAGTTATGTATATAAGACAGTAGAATTTATATTGATATAATTATACAAGCATGGAATATATCTTGTTCTAATTAGGACCCCATTCTTATGGATGTACATGATGTGAGATTCACTGTGGTATGGTCATATATGTATACAATAAAGTTATGTCAGATTCATTCCACTGTCTTTCTTTTTCCTATCCTTCATTCCCCTTTGTCTAATCCAATGAAATTCTATTCTCCCCCTACTCTCCCCCTGTTGTGACTTAGTGTTCACATATCAAAGACCTTTGGTTTGGGGGAATGGGTTATTTCAATTAGCATGATAGTGACCAGATGAATCCATTTACTGGCAAATGTCATAAAGTCATTCTTCTTTACGGCTGAGTTAATATTCCATTATGTACATGTATCATATTTTCTTTATCCATTCATCTGTTGAAGGGCACATAGGTCGGCTCCATAACAGCTATTGTGAACTGTGCTTCTATAAACATTAATGTAGCTGTGTCACTATAGTATGCTGATTTTAAGTCCTTTGGGTATAAACCAAGGAGTGGAATAACTGGGTCAAACGATGGTTCCATTTCTGAGGAATCTTCACACTGCTTTCCAGAGTGTGTGCACCAATTTGCAGTCCCACCATCAATGTGTGAGTATATCCTTTTCCCACACCCTTGTCAACATTCATTGTTACTTGAATTCTTGGTAACTGCCATTCTTCCTGGAGTGAGATAAAATCTCAGTGTCCTTTTAATGTGCTAGAGATGTTAAACATTTTTTTCATATATTTGTTGACCACTCATATTTCTTCTTCTGTGAAATGTCTATTCAGTTTTTTGCCCATTTATTAATTGGGTTATTTGATTTTTTGGTATTAAGTTTTTTTGAATTCTTTGTATATCCTGGAAATTAACACCCTATCTGAGGTGCAGGTGACAAAGATTTTCTCCCATTCTATACGCTCTCTCTTCATGCTCTTGATTGTTTCATTTGCTGTGAAGAAGCTTTTTAGTTTGATGCCATCTCATTTATGGGTGTGAGGACAATCTAGCTGTGACATCTGTTAGCCCATTGATTGCCAGAGCTGATTCAGCTGATTTGGCTGCCTACGTGGGTGCCCCCTTACTCTCTCACCACTTCTTGTGTGTCCTCCCCACTGTGTGCTCAATTGAAGAGGATGACCTTCTCCAATAATGGAGGACTGTTCTTCAGTCAAGGGTATATTAGTAGCTGCATTGCCCTCCTAGAACCTCCAAACAAGCTCTCAAAGGCACTTTTAAAAGTAGTTATGATGATTATGTACAATGTCATTATTGGGAAAAACTAGGTGAAGGATACTCAGAAATTGTACTATCTGTGCAATTTCTATGTGAGTCTAAAATCATTTAGAAGTTTAAAAGAAAGTAGAAAGTAATTATGGAAATATTACAGAAAAATAATTATATAGTTATATATCAGTAATATTTCAACGGAAGTAGATATAAACACTTGTTAAAAATATTAAAAACTAGGGGGTTTTATAGAGAAATATAAAAAATGATAACTAAATGTAGAAATAATTTTACAAATCAGGAAGAAAAAACTATGGTTCAGAGGTCAAATCCATGCTGTTTTTCTACAGCTCAAGGAACACCAATTCTGAACCCCAACTAAGTGAAATGTTATGTTCAAAAAAAGAATTCCTCTTTTCTCATTAGCAGACCTACATTTAAAATATTGTCCCCAGTTATTATTAAATTTTCATTTCATCAGTTAAAAAAACTAGTGAATATTTGCTTCTTCTAATGACAAAAGTACTTATACATACCCTTAAATGATTTATAAGTGTATTATCAACAGCATCAAGCAAGCTATTTAAAAAAAAATTATGTAGCTAAAAATTTACTTTGCTTCTACCTAGGAAAAATGAAACCAAATTTTAGCTTCCAAACAAAGGATAAAAGGCAGAAGCATCTCTGTGTTAGATACTATGTAACCCATTCATTAGGGCAACACACACACACACCCCTTATTTAATCCTCACTGTATTCTGTAGAGTAGGTATTTATAGTTCCTTGTTATCGATAATGAAAGCCAGAATCAGAACTTTAGTTAATTTTAGGGCAACTCAGCTAATAAGAATGAGGGCTGCCATTCAAAATTAGGTTTCAGCCGGGTACAGTGGCACACTCCTGTAATCCCAGCAGCTCAGGAGGCTAAGACAGGAGGATCGTGAGTTCAAAGCCAGCCTCAGCAAAAAGTGAGGTGCTAAACAACTCAGTGTAGACCCAGTCTCCAAATAAAATACAAAAAATAGGGCTGGGAATGTGACTTAGTGGTTGAGTGCCCCTGAGTTCAATCCCTGGTACCCACCCCCACCAAAAAAAGAAACTAGGTCTCAAATGAAAACCATCTTCTTTCTAATATAAAGATTTTAAAATATTTTTAAATAATTTAAGAAATTATTCAGAGATTTAGCAGAAAGTCACTATTAATGATTAATATATCAAATAACCTTTAAGCAATATTTTTAAAAATAATCAGCTATTCATTTCTTGGCATATTCTTTTAGTTCAAAGATTGCCACTATGTCTTACTCAATTAAAATCTCTCTTCCAGTTGGAGCATTAGTTCATGCATTCTGCTTTGTCTATGTTCTAACCATCCTGCATGTATGCTATTACAGTGGCAGTAAGAAAAAAGCAAATTAGTTAATTTTGTTGTCAAAAGCACTAATGAATATGCTAGTGGCAAGAATGCTGATGAAAATTATAAGCATAAGGGCTGCCACTCATTGAATAAATTACATCTCTCCTAAAGACCTTCATCAAACTTAGAATTACTTCAAAACACATGAAGATATATTATAAACACAGCTATCTCTTTGAGTACATGCCCACAGGAATATTACAATTTATCTTATTTTTTTAAAACTTTCCACATCCCTCTGCTGTATTTCCTTCCTTCTCTTTATAGCAAAACTCCCATTTCCAATTATTCCTCCATCCTATTTTAAACCCCAACCAACCCACTGAAATTACCTAGTATACTTTAACTCATCTTACTTAACATTTCAGCATTTTAACTCCTTGAAAACCTTTCTTCACTTTTCTAGTAAGGCAAACACACCTGGTCTGGTGTTCCTCTCGCCTCACTGGCCTCTCCATCTCCTTCTTTATTGGGTCCTCTTCACTTCCCCAATCTCAGTCCTTGGTCCTATCTCCTCTTTTCACACTCACTCTGCTGACGATCCCCATCCAGGTTTATAACCTTAAATACCATTCACATAATAATGACACTCAAGTTTATATTTCCAGCCTGTACCTCTTCCCTAAATTCTGGACTCATATATCCAACTGTCTATTTGACATCTTTCTTGGATCTCTAGAAGGTGTCTAATTCAGCTTGACACCTGTTAGTCAGAACTGTTAGTCAGGCATTGTGGCACATGCCTATAATTCCAGCAACTCCAGAGGCTAAGGCAGAAAGATCACAAGTCCAAGGTCAGCCTCAGCAATTTAGTGAGACCATGTCTCAAAATAAAAAGGGCTAGGAATGTTGCTCAGTGGTAAAGCACCCCTGGGTTCAATCCCCAGTACCAAAATAAATAAATAAAATCAAACTGTCACTCCCTGTCTTCCTCCATCTCAATTAATGGCGATTGCAATTGCTCAAGTCAAAAACCTGAGTCATCTTTGAATTCTCTTCCTGTTGTGGCCTACATTCAATTGACTAGCAAATGTCATTATGTCTATACTCAAAATGTATACAAAGATCATTATTAGGAACATTGGTAAAAACAGAATACATACAACACATCAGATGACAGAAATTTCTTACCATTATAATTTCCAGAATTTATACATGATTATGTAAGGGACCTTAATTTTTTGTTCTAAGGGAACACATTTAAATATTAATAAGTAAAAAATAAGACTTCCTGTTTCTGGCCTGACATGTAAAAATCTTAGAAATTTTTACTCTGTCCCAACAACCAAAAAGCTAAAAAAACTGAAAAGTCAGCAATTCTTCATAGATCTGTCAGACAAATGAGATCACAGGACAAACTGCTACTCCAATCATAAGAATGAGACAGGTACGTACAGAGAATAACAATTTACTGGAGCAGAAACTCACAAGTAGAAACCTCCCTGAAAAACAACTCATTTTAGGTAGAAAAACCTGAACTATAATTGGCAAATTACAGACAGCTCAGTGTAAATAAGCCTGAAAACTCTAGGTGGGCCAAGTATTGGGGAGTGGGGCATGTATTTGTGAGTTTCATTTTCAGGAGTGCTACCAGGTCCTCGTGGTGAATGTCAAAGAAAAAGGCCCTCCAGCTCCCCACCAGCAGGGAGAAAAAAAATACAATTTTGAATATGACAGATCTTTTTAATAAGGCCTTCCCCGAGAAGAAACTATTTTATTAGAGCCTAACCTAGTAAAATAGCAGAGCTAAACACTCCCCCCTCCCCAGGGGAAGAGAAATACCCAATACCAGCCCCCTCTAAACCATCCATGTGGGGGAAGAGAAATACACAACTCTAGCCTCTTCCAACCATCCTGTCCCACCTAAGGAGGGCAAAGGAGGGGTGACAAGGACAGAGGGATAGGGAAGTACTTAAAAAGTTTATAGTCCCATGGCACAGGCTCACCAAAAAACTGAGACTTAACCAAAGGAGTCTGAAGATACTTCCCCTCATCCATGCCTTATCATTACATGACTAAAGAAAGGCCTATTTACTGCAGTTTCTTTCACCTACTACATCATGTCTAGTTATCAACCCAGAAGGCATACTAAAAGGCAAAAAAAAAAAACCCAGTTTGGAGATATAGAACAAATATGAGAAAAAATTGGGTACGGCACAAATGTTGGAATTATCAGTGCAAGAATGTTTAACAAAACTTGTATGAAATTTAAATGAGGAAAACTACAACACATGAATAAAATAAAGAATAAACAGATATTTCATGAATAGGAAAACTCAATATTGTCAAGATGTCAGTTTCTCCAAACTTGATCTGATTCATTGCAATACCAATCAAAAACCAGCAAGTCACTTTGTAGACATCAAAAAAGTAACTCTAAAGAATATAAGAGGCGGCAAAACACCCCAAATAGTCAACACACTATAAAAGGAGAAAAAGTTGGGGAACTGATACAACCTGACTTTAAGATTTACTATAAAGTCACAATAATCAAGACAATGGTATTGGTAAAAGAATAGCCAAATAGGTCAACAAAACATAAAAGAGCCCAGGAATAGACTCACATAAATTAGAGGGAGGGTTAGAGGGAGGGATGAACTGACAAAACACAGCAGATTTTTAAGGCAGTGAAACTACTACTCTGTATACTACAATGGTAGATATATGTCATTTTGCATTTGTCCAAATCCATACAACCTACAATACCAAGAGTAGACCTTAATGGAAACTACAGACTTTGGATGATAATGTGTCAGTGTAGGTTCTATAATAAATATACTATAATAAATATACCACCATGGTCCCAGATATTCACAGTAGTGAAGGGTTGAGCATATGGAGAACAATGGAAAAGGGCCTCTGTACTTTCTCCTCAATTTTGTTATCAGCCTAAAACTACCATGTAAAATAAATCTGATGAACTAAAGAAATAAAAGATAACAATGTGTGAAACATACTCTCAAATGGTTCAGGAAAAAAATGTATGTGCATGTGTAAAATGACAGAATACGCAAAAACAAATAAGTAAATCTTAATGAATATATGGATACTTATTTTCTTATTCTTGCAAATCTTCTGCAAGTTTGAAAGTTTTTTAAAACAATTAAAAATTCAAGAAAAAAACACTCTCCCCATCTCATTCAGAGTAAAAGTCCTGACAATTAACTATAAAACTGATCTACTTCAGACTCACAGGATTGTTTCTTAATAGTTGCTGGGAACTTGTCATTCTTGTTTTTTTGGTACACTCTTACACAAAAGGTCCACAAGGTTTCGTTCTCTCACATCATTCTCTCACATCCTTCAGGTCTTTTTACTAAACTAGAAGACAGAGGATGGTGTAGGTCCCAATATCTTAAGTCACTGATGAATACTGGAAAGAGCTACTCAAAGAATGAAAGCAAGAGCTGACCAACAAAAAGAAAATGATAGTTTAATTCAGCTTTTAGAGCTGGGATTATAACAAGCAATCACCTTTTTTAATGCTTGTTGTTATTACAATGACAGGAAATGAAAAACAGACACAGAATACAGTGTTTCCATTTAGCATTTACCTATTTCGAGCGGGGGATTTCCCAGCATCCTCCTGAACAGATACAAGTCTTGTTGAAAGAGCAGTGTTGGAGGAGTCTGGATGAATCAAACTATAAAGAAAATAGGAAAATATTGAGATCGCTTGGAACAGTAAAAGGCAAACCCAATTCTAATGAGATGCTTTAACATTTAAAAGCAAATTAAATCTTTTCCCCTGAAATTGGGGGATTATGGGTCACTTTTGCACTTGCTTGGATTAAGGTGAAAACTGTGTGTGATTATCATATCAAATGTCAAAAGAATGATAAAGTTTTTTAAGTATACCAAACATTAAGAACACCAACAGCCAAACACGGTGGTGCATGCCGGTAATCCCAGCAACTCAGGAGGCTGAGACAGGAGGACTGTGAGTTAAAAGCCAGCCTCAGCAATAGCGAGAAGCTAAGCAATTCAGTGCAACCCTGCCTCTAAATAAAATAAAAAAATAGGGCTGGGGATGTGATTCAGTGGCCATGTGCCCCTGAGTTCAATCCCAAGTACACCCCCCAAAAATAACAATAAAATAATGAAATTAATTGGATCAGTGATTTACATGATAACTTCCCAAATCACATATATATAAGATGGAAATGATTTGGGAAATATGAGTTCCAAAACTTTACTCTATCCCCACAGCCCACTGGAATAGCAAAATAAGAAGCAAACCTAGGTCTAAGAGCAGGTTCCACCTCTTACTAGCTGTGTGACCAAATTCATTATTTAATCTTTTTGAACTTCAGCATCTGCATCTGTCAAAAGGAAAAAATAGTGCCTACCAAAGAGGTATAATTAAAAGAGAATGAATATTAAGTAATTAGCACAAAGTCTAAAACTATTATTCTACCTTTGATATCTATCAAACACCTCTCAGGAAGCTATCATACCTGGTTTGTTTTATAAAATTTATAGCCAGATCATACACAATTAAAAGATATTAGTAATTAAAATAAGCAAGAATTGAAGACTTTCTATACTTTGTACTATATTATTAAATATAGAATCAATTTTTTAAATTTATAATAGGTATGTAAGATATAAAGAATCATGATACTACAAACATCAAAAGATTCATCAACTAATTTAAGAAAAAAGAACACTATCACTGATTCCAAAGTACCTATGGTCCCAGCATAATTTATTTTGTATACTTCTGAAGTTTACATAAATGAAAGGTTTGTGGATGTACGATTATATGACACATCTTTTCCATTTTATATTATGTCCCTAAGATTCACACATGTTCAACTATAGTGGTAAGTGGTTCATTTTTTTATTTTTTTAAATATAATGTACAATAAAATTCCTCACTTCCTTAAGATGTAACTGAGAAAATATCTCATCAGAAAAATGTTGGTTAAAACTCCAAGCTCTTTGATATGGTCAGATTTGGTATTATGCTTAAGAAAATTATGTTGCTAGAGAAAGCAATCAGAAACTGATGAACCTAGGACACTAATTCAAACAATTCTAAGTAACTTCCAAGTCACTTCCCCTACTACCAGTCCATTTAGACCTGCAGAAAGACAGGAAATGTACCTTTGGAAGGAAAAAAATCTAATTTCATTTAGAAATATGAATACAAATCTCATGAGTATTATCCATAAAAAGATTTCATTAGGAATTATTAATCTCAGTGACTTCTGTTGCCTATTCATCAAATATCATGAAGTTTATATACATGCCATGTGCTATTCTTGGTGCCAACAGTAAAACAGTGAGTGAACAATAAAGATATAGTCTCTCATCTTAAGGAGATTATACTCTAATTGGTCAATAACCTCACTACCCATAAACATCTATGATCCTGCTGGAAGTGAACCAAGGAGAAAGGAGAAAATGGTGAATTTGAAACAATTCAAAGAATAAAAGTCAACCAAAAGCACTTATAAGTCAAGAAACTTAGTATTTCTCAAGTTTAAATAAAATTATATTCAAGTGACAGTACCTTTGCCAGGCCAAATCATCCTCTAAGAATATGTTACGGCTGGCTTTTCTACTCCCAACAGGTGTTCGGGGTTCACTGGGATCAAGTACAGACACAGAGCAAGCAGAATCTGAAAGAGCATTCAAATCTTCCCCAATGGAATTACTGTCTGTGGAATGAGCGTAACTTAAGGCTATTTTTCTACAATAGGTACAAGCCCGGAGGTCTCCTGGGAGGAAAAAAAAAGAGAGAGCGAGAGAAAAGGAAAATGAGTAAAAAGTAGCAATACTATATTATTTAAAATATTTTAAATCCTTGGGTTAACAAATAATCTAATAACAGGGAAATGTCTTTAAGTCTTAAAAGACTACCCCTCAAAAAAAATTTTTTTAAATATTTACTTTTTAGGTGTAGATGGATACAACACAATGCCTTTATTTTTTATGTGGTGCTGAGGATCAAACCCGGGTCCTGCCCGTGCGAGCCAAGCCCTCTACCGCTGAGCCACAATCCCAGCCTCCCAAAATTTTTTAAAGAAGTAAAATACTTCAGCTGACTCTGTTAAATATTTTAAGAATCATCACTATAATAAATTTATCCAAGTGTCCAAATTACTTCAAATATTTATAACAAGGTAAGAAAATCTGACCCAGTAATACTGGAAAACTGTGTTTGTAAGATATCTTTTCAAAATTGTAAAAATGAAATAAGGGATCTATCAAAGGTAGGAATTTCAAGCAGAAAAAATTTCAATACAGTAAATAAACCAATGTAAATGTAAACAACACAATTTCCCTAGGCAACAAGTGAGGAAATTAAAGTTTCTATTATGAAGCCCTGAAGAGTGGCCTCTAGAAGGGTACACAATTTTGAAACAAACTAAGAAAATGGCCTAAACACAATATGATATATTGAGATAAACTTTGCTGAAATTCTTATAACGAAAAGTTAAAATAGAAATGAAATGTAATTGGGAGAACAAACAAGATTACTTAATACTTCTAAATTTTTTTTTTTTTAGGATGTAGTCCTGCCCAAAAATATTATTTTCTACCTTGTTTTTCTAAAACATTGTTTTGTGTGATTCCGTAACAATTTGGTGTATTAAAAATGGAGGTGAAATAGTCATATGCCACATAATGTTTTGGTTAACGAGATCACATAATACAATAATAGTCACATAATGGAGCCGAAAAACTCCATTTTGTTCTCCCCATCTGCAGTGCTGCGGATCAAACCCAGGGCCTCACACTTCTGAGGCAAGAATACTACCACTTATCTGTAGCTTTGGCCCTTGAAAAATTCTTATCACCTGGTGATGTTGTAGCCATCATAATGTTGTAGGGCAACACATGTATCTTAATCAAAATAAAATGTCAGTTGTTGACATACTAATTTCTGTCACCACAATTTAAAAGATAAAATCGATTAAAACTATTAAGAAAAATAGATCTGCATCCACTTCAATCAGGACCCCAGAAAACAGTAACAAAGTGAACACCAGTCTAGGATAATCAAAGCACTAGGATAATTACCATTAACTGACCAAGGCAGAATTACAGTGAGGATGTGAAATTACTTCCTTCCTAAAAGACCTACAGTTTACCATTACAAAAGCGGGTTTGTTTCTTACACTATTAAAGGAAATCTCCCTGAACCAGTCAGCTCTCAAAACTAAAATTATCAAACCAATAAAGACAGTCAAGCCTGACCAGGAAAGTTTCATTTCATTAGAACATTCATCAGCAAAGGCCACTACACATATAAGTGTATTATATGATGGAAAAATAAAGGCTGATGAGACACAGTCCTGCCACCAAAGAACTCACAGTTTACTGGAGATGATGGACATATATAATTTTAAAATGCTGCATGATGAATGCATAGATATTACTTTTACTATTGCCATAATAATTGCTTAATATTCATGGATCCTTTGATATGTGCCAGACATTGTTCCAGGTATTCTACATTTATTCAGGGTCTCAATGTGCAATTGTGCACTAAATATATTATTCCCATTTGTGATGGTTAAGCTTAGGTCAACTTGGCTAGACAAGGGGTTTGGTCAAATAATCTAAACAGTTATCTGGGGTTGAGGGGTGCAGGGAGTATGATTAATATTTACAAATACTGAAGTAAAGCAAATTATTCTCCATAAGGCAGTGAGTCTCATTCAATCAGTTAAAGGTCTGAGGAGGTAAGACTAAAGTTTCCAGAATAAAAAGGAAATACTGCAAGGCAGAAATCCTATAGGAGTTTTCAGCCTGCTAGCCTCCTTGAGAATTTCAGACTTGCCAGCCCTTCACAATCATTAAATCACTTGAGCCAATTCCTTAAAATACAGATAAACTTCTCTCACTCATTTGCTCAGTGTGTGTGTATAACTCCATTCATTCTGTTTCTTTAAAGAATTCTCACTAATGTAGATTTTGGTACTGTTATGTTTGAATATGAGATGTCCCTCAGAAGCTCCTGTAGTAATGCAGTAATGAGGTGAAATGACTGGATTGTGAGAGCTGTAACCTGATCAGTCTAGCCTAGTTTAAATGGACCACCTGGTAACTGTAGGTAACTTGTACGTGGCTGAAGGAGGTGGGTCATTAGGTTCATGTCTTTCCTCTCTGCCACCATGAACTAAGCAGCTTTCCTCCACCACTCCCTTCTGCCATGAAGCTCCATCTCATCTCAGGCCCAGAGCAGTGGACTCAATTGACCATGGATTAAACTTCTGGAACCAGGAGCCAAAATAAACTTTCCCTCCTCTATATTGTTTTTGTCAGGTATTTTGGTCACCAGACACACAAAGATAACTAAAACTGGTAAAAAGAATGGTTCCAAAGGAAAAGAATTTTAAGGATAAGGTTCCTGAATGGGCTTTTATGTTTCTAGAACTGGTTCTCTGATTGGACTGAAAGGCACTAATGATTTTATTTCTAACAGCAAAGAGAATATTGATAATCTATGGTGTGCTTAGCAATACAAACATGCAAAATATCACCTATGTATGGATACTCCTAATCAAATACTTATAAGAAGCAAGATTATGAGTTACTATGTATTTAATATCTTTGAACATTTTTGTCAAACTAATAAGTATATTAAGATAAACTTATTGTTCCTAATTGCACTACACAAAGTAGAGAAATAAAAGAATAACCTCAGGATTCAAATTCCCAGTTCAAGAACTGAACTAATTAAAAGTTTCTGTCGTCCCTGAAAGAATCCCTTATCTCCTATGGCCTCAGTGCTAAGATTGCTGAATATCTAACCAATTCTCAAAATACAAGTGGCTTGAATTAATACACATAACAACAAAGACAGAGACAGGAGAGATGGATCTGTTCACAAGCCAAAGAACATGAAGAACTGCCAGCAACCACCGGAAAATAGGAGAGAAACCTGGATGAATTTTCCCTTGGAGCCTCCAGAAGGAAGCAAGACTGCCAACACTTTGACTCCAAGCTTTTGGCCCCCAGAAATGCAGAAATGGGAGAACAAATTTCAGTTGTTTAAAAAAAAAAAATACCAAACACATAACTTCAATTACCAATCTTGCAGTATGTCTGCTAATAAAGTGAGGACACTGATTAGGAAGAAATGGGATCCTGAAAATTAGAATGAAGATATATGGGAAAAGCCAAAAGAAGCTAAGGATATTGAACCCCCAAATCTGAACCTCCTGTCGGAAGTAGCCTTTCCAAGTCATCTGAAATTAACTCTGCTTTGCTTCAGGAATTTGTAATGCCTCCCTCGAGTTAGGTGCCTTGCAAGACACTACTAATTCCCCTCAAGATCTATTCCTAGTACCTCCATCCCATAGTCAAGTCCTGCCAGGTCTTAAAGGTAAGGTACAAAGTAAGACCAATGAGGATATATGCGGTATACCTGAAGAACCACATGACTTTTCCAATTAATATAGACAAAAACCCAAGGAATGTGTGAGATGGCTATTGAGGGTATAGGATAAGAGTGGATAGAAAATTTGCCAAGTTGAATTTACTGATATGGGTCCACTAAGTAGAGATTCCAGATTTAATCTTGCAGCTTGAGAAGTTAAAAGAAGCTCTTAAGTCTATTTAGTTGACTGGCTAAAATATGAATCTTTTAAAAGGTGGCTTATATTAAAAATGAAGATAAAATGCCTGAACTTCCCTGATATACTACAGAGCAAGGAATACATAAGCTTAGGAAACATGAATGAGTCAATTTTGCACATACATAACCACACTCCCTCTCTCTTATTATGTGATGCTCTGCATGACCTTTGGGCTCTGCTAGCAAGAAAGACATCACCAGAGGAGTACCCTAGACCTTGTACCTCTACAATCAACCAAAACAGGTTTTTGGGGGTTTTTTCCTGACGCCAATTATGAAACAGGGATTGGTGTGTACTGGTTTGGCTAACACAGCCAAACCTGCAGAGGAACTCAGTACAGCTCAATTCATTGTTCAACAGCTACTGGGTTTATTTGGTCAAGATACTCACTCGTAATTATGGAAGCAGAAGCTTCTCATACCTGTTGTATTTGAAGCTATCACCAGGAACTAAAAGCTAAAGCAAATAAAAGACTTTCTTCCTGATAACCTGAATAATCTGGATGTGGACACAACCACTGGGACCTAGTTATGATTTGATTATTTATAAAGTAATGCTAATTGTGCTAACACTTGGAAAGCATAAAAAAAATCTAGTTGTAAGTGATAGTAGTGTTTGATTTGACAGAAAACTAAAGTAAACTTTTAATAATAGTCTCTCTTTACATATGACTTAAGGAATTTATCTATGGATATTAGTAACCTTTTTCTATGATTTGTCCATAATAAATCATACTTGGTCACACACATAAAATAGAGTGGATTTGCCATATAAGACCTGCTCCCTTATCCCTGAAAGATATACCTTTCAGCACAACCATGAAACATAAATTTGTGAGGGGAGACTCAGAATCCCTGAAGAGCTCTGGCTGCTATTGCTTTTCTATTTAGATAAGAAATTACTGCTACCACTGAACCAGGAAAACCAAATGCAATTGGGATAACTGGATCCTCAGGTATCGGGGCCAAAGGGATTTATGGCCTTTGAATACTGTGACTATACAATTAAAGCAAGGAAACAGCCAACTTTTTCAGGGGTTACCAGCACTAACTCTAAACTGAAACTAATTCCAAGGACTCAAACATAACTGTTGTTCACCAGTTACAGCAGAGGCTTAGGGAGGCATGGCAACTGATGGGAGTTTTAGCTCAGGTACATCTGACAGTGAGTTTAGTGGGTCCCCAAAGCCCATTCTGTTGTTATTTCATCAGTTCTAGAATATATAATTGATATAGACATATTCAGCAACTGGTAAAATCCATACATTGATTCCTTAACCTCTATTATGGTGCTTCTGGCCTCCAGAACTGTAAGACAATAAATTTGTATTGTTCTAAGCCACTCAGCCTGTACTTTGTTATGGTAGTCCTAAGAGAGTAAAATGCCAGCCAGGCATGGAACACACACCTAAAATCCCAGTGACACAGGAGGCTGAGGCAGGATGATCACAAGTTCAAGGCCAGCCTCAGCAATTCAGCAAGTCCCTCTTTCAAAATTAAAAAAGACCAGGGATCCAGCTCAGTGGTTAAGTGCCTCAATAAAAAGGAAAGAAATCAATCCTAACCGTATGAGACAGATTTTATCCTAAGGGTAATGGTAACTCTGAAAAGGTATTTATCCTAAGAGTACTAAGCAGGGAAATAACCTGACATGATCAATTGGCATTCTACAAATACTGACTTGAATATGAAAAATGAATTCAAGATAGGGAAAAACTAGGGGTAAGAAAATCTCTTAAAAGCTCTAGTCAATCTGGATGAAAGATAATGAACTCTGTAGCAATTTTAGTTTCTTTTTTTTTTTTTTTCAAGTGAATGAAAGCAAAAGGAAAATCTATACAATAACAAAAATAACGAGAAGTCAAGAGGATTTTCTTGAGTAATTTCAGTCCACCTTCCACTCCAAATCACTGCGTAAATCTACACACCATTGTCAGCTTTCTTCTGTTTCAACAAATAACTTGAATTTTCAGTATTGCTAAAATTTGACTATGTTCCTTATGGAAGAATAAGAGTAAGATACAATTTGCCAAAACATAGTGTCATATAAGTCAAGAAAAAACTTTAAAAATAAGAACTCTCATAATAATATAAATTAGAAATCTACTCTAACCATCTTGTCTGATAACTTTTAACATCCCTAGAGCTTTCTGCTAGTATCTATGATACACTGTCTTTTATTCTAGTTATTTTTTAACTTTCCATCTACTTTATCACTTGACTGTGAAGCACTGTCGCCCTCACTATTGCATCCCCACGCCTTACACACAAGGCCCAAAATAAAAATTGGCTTATTGTTGGTCCTGTATTATAATTATTTTATACTTATGACCTTTAAAAATTGTAATACTGTCAATAAAATGCATTTACCTGTATAGCCCATAAATTTTCCAGGGATTTCTTGATTACAGCAACGACTGCAGAAAATCTGCCCACATAGTCGGCAATGGTGTCTGCGCCTAAAGGTTGTGAATTTTTCACTACAGTCATAGCACTCTTTACATTGGCTATCTGGCATCCAGTATTGCTTCAGATCACTATCCTATAACAATAAAAATGTGTGAAGACTTCTTGAAAATACTGATTTTTATATTGTAATGGCAAATAAAATCCTTGAAGATTTTTTTTTACAGAAATGAGAAGTTAATTCTAAAATTCATAAGAAATGCAAAAGACCAAAATGACTAAGAACAATCCTAAAGAATAAAACAGGATTTACATTACCATCCATCAAGACTTATTCAAAAGCTATATAATTTTAAATAGTACTGGTGCAAGGACAAAAAAAATGGAGATATGGAACAGAAAAAAGTAGCTTAGCATACACTAATGTGTACATGATTTTTGTGATAAGATTTATAGCACAATCAATGACAGATGGTCTTTCAAAAACTATGGTGCTATCCTCATGTCCATTATAACCAAATAGACATGAAAATAAAAGGAAACTTGACCCTATTTATTCACACAAATAATAAAGCTTCTTAAAAAGAATCATAGGGGTATATCTACAGATCCTGGCCTGAAACTAAAACAGAATTATTTTAAAAACACTAGCCTTAAAAGGAGGAAAAAAAAAAAAAAACTGATATAATAAACCACATTAAAGTTAAGAACTTAGGTTAAAAAAATTGTGGTTTTCACAACTGAAATAAGTAATAAATATACTATCGTTTTATTCTTTATTTTTGGTACCAGGGATTGAACCCAGGGGCACTCAACCTCTGAACCACATCCCCAGCCCTTTCTTATATTTCATTTAGAGACAGAGTCTCACTAAGTTGCTGAGGCGGGCTTTGAACTCAAGATTCTCCTGCCTCAGCCTCCCAAGCCTCTGGTATTACAGGTCTGCACCACCACACCCAGCTTAACAAATACATTTTCTTTCAAATCATATTATGTCATTTTTCAGTGGGAATGGTATGATCCCAAAAAGTATGTAAGAAGAAATCTTCCAAAGCATCTAAATATTACCTGGCTTTTTCCCTCCATGATTTCTTTGAGACGTTTTAATACTGTGCTGAGGCTTCGAAGCTGAACAGCTGTACGAGGATCATGACCTCCAAAGGTAGGTTCTGCTTTCCTTCTTGTATCTGAGTCATATTTAAAAAAAAAAAGAGAGAGAGAGAAGAACAAAGGCAATCTTGTTAAAGGTTCCTTGTGTCTATATAAAACACTGCATCTATGTGATGTGAAGTGCTTTTATTACTTGTATTCTCCCAACCAGTGACATAGGTTGAGAGTTAAGGGTGGTCTTTATAAGGGTAACAGACTGTTGAAAGTATTTCTTATTGCCATGTAAAATACTATTTCACAAGCAAGTAAGAGCTATCTAAGACAAGAACTATCTGAGCTGATGGTTTGGAGGCCTAAAACAGCAGCATCATCTACATGGTTAGAATTCAATAATGATTTCTTTTGCTCTTTGGTCCCAACCTATAATAAATACCTGCTGGACATTTAACAGAAGAAAAAGCAACTCCAGAGGGTTAAACACTAGCCATAAAAGGAGCAAAAAAAAAAAAAAAACTGATAAAATAAACCACATTAAAGTTAAGAATTTAGGTTAAAAAAATGTGGTTAGTTTAGCTTAGTCTCTATAGTCATATAGGTAAGCAATAGGATCAAATGGTTCACTTCTGGGGCTAATCATCAGAAAGAAATAATTCACCCCTAAAGATTCTGATAAAGGGCTGGGGTTGTGGCTCAGCGGTAGAGCATGTGCGAGCATGTGCGAGGCCCTGGGTTTGACCCTCAGCACCACATAAAAATAAATAAAATAAAGGTATTGTGTCCAGCTACAACTAAAAAATAAATATATTTTTTAAAAAAAGATTCTGATAGAATTCAAAAAATCCAGGAGGGTAGATTTGACCATGATAAAATCTGACAAATGTCCAAGCATATTATAACTGCCAGAGAATTGCTAAAACTCTAGTCCTATCCTTCTCTATTGCACCCAACCCAACCCTGTAGTTCCAAACTGAAAGGGTCAGGTATTTTGGTCATAGTGACAAAAAGTTAAGACACTCCAGCTGTTTCAAAACCTAAGGGTGAACAGGAGGTGATCTGACAAAAAAGATGAGTTATCTGACTATGGACTGTGTGACACCTCTGTAACCATGAACCCAAAATAAACTTTTCTTACAAGTTGTTCCTGTCAGGTATTTTGGTCATAGTAACAAAAAGTTAAGACACTCCAGCTGTTTCACTGAAATGGCAATACTAAACACAAATCTATCTATAATAAAACAAGCCCAAATTCTAGCTTTGTAACCAGAATGGTAGATGCCCACCAAAAGTGCCACCAGTAGGTAACTGTACTTTTCTTGTGGACCAAAACTACTGCAGTTTCTATTCCTGGCTCAGTGTTATGGTTTTGATATGAGGTGTTCCTGAAAAACTCACATTAGTTAATGCACGAATATTCAGAGATGAAATGTTTAGGCTATGGACACTATAATCTTATCAGTGAATCAATCCATTTAATGGATTAATAATCTGAATGGATTACTGGGTGGTAATTATAGGCAGCTGGGGCATGACTGGAAGAAGTAGGCCAGTAGGGGTATATCCTTAGGGCTTATATTTTGTTCCTGGCTACTCACTCTCTCTACTTCCTAACTGCCAAGAGCTGAGCAGCTTTCCTCTACCATTCCTTCTATTCTAACATTGTGCCTTGCCTCAGGCCCAGTGTAATGGAGTTGGCTGACTATGGAGTGAAACCTCTGAAACCATGAACCCAAAATAAACTTTTCTTAAAAGTTGTTCCTATCATATTTTGGTCATAGTGACAAAAAGTTAAGACACTCCAGCTGTTTCAAAATCTAAGGGTGAATAGGAGGTGATTTGACAAAAAAGATGAACATCCAATTAGCTTAAACACTCTAGTCTAATAACCCATGGAGCTCCCACTAACCTAAACAGATTGCAGTTACTTTCCAAGGTTTCAAGTAACCAAAGGCAACTGCAGTCTAAAAATTTTAACATTTGTCTTCATTCTTTCAAGAGAAAGAGACAACAATCACATAATTTTTAATATATTTATTGTCATAGTTATTTTTGTTACTCTCTTTCTATGCCTAATTTACAAGTTAAACTTTATCACAGATGTGTACATATGGGGATAAAAAACATAGGGTCTGGTACTATCTGTGGTTTCAAGCCTCTACTGGTACAGAAAAGAAGGGAGGTTTAGAGTATATCCCTGCAGATAATGGGAACTACTATAAAATGGAAAATCTGGGGCTGGGGTTGTAGCTCAGTGGTAAAGCACTTGCCTAGCATGCATGAGGCACTGAGCTCGATTCTGAGCACCACAAACAGATAAATAAAATAAAGGTCCATCAACAACAACAACAAAATAATAATAATTAAAAAATAAAATAAAATAAAATGGAAAATCTGCCTCAAACTCACTATTTGCCAGATTTATATTAGGTGTGCTTTGTTTTAGTTGGGTGGGAAATAAAAGATTACAAAGAAATGAGAGGTTGATATCTAAATCCAAATTTACAAAGAATTACCTAAAACAATTCAACGAAATAATCACTGTATCTAAACTGTACTTATTTTTAAACACTTTGAAAACTTTTTATCTTAATTTTAGCATTAGTAATACCTCAGAGGTGGTACTAAAATGTAAGTATTAGACCAAATTATTCATGAGTCTCAAAATATAAAGCAACTATCCATGAATTATAAGTTGAAAAAGGAGTCAAAGCTGTGAGAATTACAATGGCAATGCTCCGCATACCGGCAATAACAAACTGTGAAGCCCCTTGCATTTAGCTACTTAGAAATACAAGATAGTATTAATAACATCATCCACTGGAAAAGGATGAGTGAGGCTCTTCCTGGAACCACAAATGAGCACTAGTGCCCTTGAATTAAGATGAACAGACACTGAGAAAATCTGGTCTAGCTCTTTGCTCTTAGGCAAATAATCTTAGCTGCTTCTCTTATAAAACAGATACCAGAAAATTAAATTACTTTCCTAAGGTCAGAAAGCCAGTACATAATTACAGTCCTTTAGGGGGAATGAAAAACCAACCTCTACCTCAGAACAAAGCCTGTCCAAGGAAGGGACATGACCTTAGTCCTCGGAAAAACCCACAGAGCACTCCTAAGCACATTCCCACCCTGCTAAGTTGTTTATCTACAAATAACAGGAGAGATCTGCTGTGCCAGGTGTCCCTGACTCAGTCAGGCTAGGTGGGGATCCATAGCAGCCCCCTAGCAGCCACCAATCAGCATGAGACAGGGAAATACCTGGGATGCCAGATGACCCTCCCAGTGGTTTATGGTGGTTGATAACAAGTTGGGAAACCATGTAGTTCAGCACGTACACCCCTCTTGGCTCAAACCAATCAGTTCAAACGAATACCCCTTTTGTACTGACCAATCACCCCTACCTAACTTGTTCCCACCAGTGAATATGCTAATCATGTTTTAGAGTTGTTATCTGATTTTCCCGCGGTGTGTGATGATTTGCTAAGGGATGCTATAATGTATGTGAAGTCCCTGCCCTCTCCAAAAAATGTATAAAAATGCTGCAAACCCTGGGCTCGGGGCCTCTCAGCGTCACCAGTTGCTGTGTGTGCGTGCGGAGGACCGAGCTAGCTTGCAATAAACACCTCTTTGCTGCTTGAAAAAAAAAATAATAATAATTACAGTCCTTTAGTGAAGAAAGGAACTTATTTGGCCAAACAGTCCCAGGCTTTTGAAGTTCAAATGCATCTAAGGTAGAATCCAAGAATAAAGACAATAAGAAAAGGTAGAGGGGCTGGGGTTGTAGCCCAGTGGTACAGCGCTTGCCTGGCACATGTGGGACACTGGGTTCGATCTTTAGCACCACATAAAAAAACTAAATTAGTAAAATAAAGATATTTAAAAAAAATTTTTTTTAATATAGAAACTGCAACAAATGAGACATTAGAAGCTCCATCTAAAAATATTTAAATTCAATTGTATCATAACACCACAGGCAAAGTTAGGCAGTCTGTCACTACTAAAAGATGAGTTTCTACTCCAACTCCTCAACTGAACAAGTGAGGAAATCCTATGCTTAAAATGGAGACTGCTGCTCTCCTTGGTCTCCTTTTCTTCTTTCTGTAGCTAAGGAAAGCGTGGTATTTTGAAAAACTAAGACTCAATAATTCTACAAAGAAAAGGTGGTAGCTAAAATTTTCAGACAATAATGTCTTCATTCAATATTATTTAGTCAGAAGGGCTCCCTCAACAAAAACAGGCTGTTGGCCATGGGCCAGGTATAAGAGCTAAGGAGAACTTATTGAGGTTAAAGGTTAAAGTGGAGATGTTTTAAAATAAAAGGAGAGCTCCTTTCTTTCTCTTCCTTTGCCCACCTTCCAATTCTTAACCAGGGGTTAAAGCTCACTGCCTTAGAAGTCCTATAAAGATGACACAGCCAGCTCTGGTCCAGTTCTTCAAGCAGTACTTCTTCTGACTTGATTTCTCTTGCCTCTTCCACTAAACCAAATCTCAACTAGCAATAAAATATCCTTCTGCCAAACACCATTGCTTTCACCTATTCATTCTCATGGGGAAGACTGGCCAGGGCCGACAGGATCTGGTATTCAGGGACACTTGATTTCTCAACGCTGTATCCCTTTGCCTCTATTACACCACTTCCCACTGCCTTCTTCTATCACCTTGATAGATGGTTGGGCAAACCATTCTACTGAGTTTAGCAAGCTAACAGAAATAAAGCATAAAATATTTACTCTCTCTAGTTTCTTCACTTCACTGATCCCTAGCACGCACTTATTAGAAGAGCATGAAAATGAAGGAGATGACTGTGTAATAAACCAGGATGGAGAATAAACAGGCAAGAAGAGCTCAGCTTATACAGCCACACTGACAGTTTGCACCCCACAAAGGACACAGGCCAAGAGCAAGTGGCAGCCCAGCAATGGAGTTGAAGAATTCTGCAGCCAGAGGCATGCACATCACATTTCACTAGCACCCAAATACAGACGCAGAATTCATTCACAAGACTGAAACTAACCTGTGTTCTCCTGGGGATGCTGCAAATTGTTCTCTGCTGAAACTCAAGCAAGTAATTAATCAAAAAGCAGCCAAGAGGTCTGTTTGCCTAAATCAAAGTTTAATGACATGTTTAAGAGCTCTTATTCAGATATCAACAAATTCTTTCACTAACTAAGTAATAGTTTTATTTATTCTGGAGAGTACCTGACTATTCCAAACAACAAGAAAGTTAAGTCAATAAATAACTTGGGAAACACAATGACCGTGGAAAAATCTTAGAAGAATGAAATAAGAACACTGTTTTACCTAACACTGAAGAGCGTCGATGAAGTTCCTCATTAAGCTGTTTTTTATAAGGAACAGGTGACCTCACTGATTGTGTCCTTGAAGGGAGCTGAGGGCTGGACCAACTTCCACTGGGAGAAGGGTGCTCTCCTTGGCTTCCTTCTCCTCTCTCTGTAGAGCAAAAGAAAGGTTGACATTATTTGAAAAATTGAGACACAAGAATTCAGCAAAGAGAAAACATGAAATTTTCCAGACAAATATATAGTTATATATATATATATATACACACACACACACACACACATATATATATATATATACTTATATATATGTATGTATGTATTACATGCATAATTTAAAATTAGGCTTTTGGATTTTTTTAAAAGAAAGAAATCCAAAGACTAGAGCAAAATTATAAGCCAATAATCACACCCTTGGTATACGTGATTTTCTGTTTTACTTTTCATTTGAAATTTGAGGAAACAGAATGCAAGCTTTTTACACAAAGGCCCAAAATTTTTGCTGTGTTTATGGAAGAGATTCCTTGTACTATTGAAACAGCACCCAATATAGTAGCTGCTCAAAAAACGTTTACTAAATAAATAGAGTATTATCTTATAAAGAGTCTACATAATATAATATCTTAGATGGAATCTTATAAAGGACATTATGTAAAAATTTAAAAACTCTGAATAAAATACATACAGTAGTTAGTGAAAATTGTAAAATCTTTACATTAGTGCAGTAATACTAACCTAAGATGTTAATAAGAGCAGAAACTGAATGTAGGGGTAAACATAAATGCTCTGCATTATCTTTCCAATTTTTCTATAAATCTAATAAAACTTTTTTAAAAATTAAAGCTTATTTTTTAAAAAGTATCATCTTAAAAATGTAATAAGTTTTTACAGTACTTTAAACCTAACCATTAATAAACTTAATTAGAACTATTAAAATTTCTACTGAGGGGCTGGGGTTGTGGCTCAGTGATAAAGTGTTTGCCTCGCACGTGTGAGGCACTGGGTTCGATCCTCAGCACCACATAAAAACAAGTTAAACAAAATAAAGGTGTTGTATCCACCTACAGCTAAAAACAATATTTAAAGAAAAAATTCTACCTAGGCTGGGCTCAATGGCACACATTTTTGATCCCAGCAGCTCAGGAGGCTGACACAGGAAGATCACAAGTTCAAAGCCAGCCTCAGGAAATTAGTGACGCTGTAAGCAACTCAGCAAGACAAGCTCTTGCCCTGTCTTTAAATAAAACATAAAAAAGGGCTGGGGATGTGTTCAGTGGTTAAGCACCCCTGGGTTCAACAGTACCCAAAAAAAAAAAAAGAAATCTAGCTTTTTCTTCTTAAGCAGAAAAATCTGGTGATATATGAATAAAGCACCTTGTTAATATTTCACTTTCTCACAAAGATACAACATGAAAGTTGAATAAGGGAACTATAAAGAATCAAAACTGTAAGTTTTCTGATGCTTAAGAGTAAGTCTTACCTTTGTTAAATCGAAAAAGATTTACAAAAGAACTATATGCTGATTTAAAAGAAGGTTCATCCTGGTCAGGAGTCAAAGGTTTAAAGTGTGTAAGATGAGAAGGACTGGTAGGAGGTCGAGGCAAATCATTAGCAGAGTCCAGTGTTGGGGAAGTCTTATCATCTGTGGCCATTTCATGAGACTGCAAAAGAAAAAAAAAATGTTACTGTTTCAGAAGCCAAAAGTTAATTTCAAACAATATGCATATATCTGGAAGATCCTATTCTGTGAGAGTTTTTACCTATGAAAACCAAAGAGTCAGTGAATTTAGTTTAGCATACTCAAGTGAAGGTTTAAAAACACTGCTGTCTAAATCAAATCTCAACACCTAAAACTGTCGGTCAACCTAATTTCAAACATTACTATTAAAATCATTTTAAAATTTTTAAATTAAAAAATTTGCAGGTAAGGCATAAATGTGAGCAGGCAAAGAAGAAAAATATTTTCATACCTGTAAAAATTTTGGGAAAAAAAAGGTATTTAATAGTTTTTTAAAGTTATACAGGGAAACTGGTTTTATGCCAACATATAAATTCCTCCATCTTACTTATTTCAGCTTTTCCCTCTAAAAGTATAACAAAAAACTATCTACCTAAAGAAAGGAAATAAAATAGTCATCCTTTAATGACATTTCTATATAAACTCAACAATTAGCTCAAGTTACACCTTATTTGAATATTGACAACTATTCAAATCAACAAGCTATGCTCCATCATGTTTTCTTCCAGGAACATGAACTTGCTATTTTCCCCTTTAACCCTATATAAATATTAAGATAAATATATTAATATTAATATTAGTAAATACTAATTTAACTCTATATAAATATTAAGATAAAGATCTTCCTAAAGGGCTTTTTCCCCTAAATTACCAAAAATCATAATTCAGCCAAAGCAGTAAATCTAACCACATCAGAGTTTACCAAAAAAGCACCAATTTATATTTTGCTATTCGGAGTTATATTTCAACCAGAAGAACCATGCATACCTCTAGTTAGTCATTAAAATGCTTTAGTTTCTAATATAATTTACACTTTTAAAAAGAGGACATTACACTCTTGTAAATGCTTTGCTTCTCTGAAATCATATGCACCATCTCATTTTATTTTTACAATCCTGGAAGGTACATAAAGCAGTCCTCATTACATTTTTATCTTCAAGGCAACCAAGGTACTCTGAACCTAAAATAACTTTCCTCGGGGGGGAGGTCACAAAGATAGTTTGGGAACCTGTATCTAATCTCACCACAAAATTCTTTAGATTGAAATTATTTTTGTAGCTTTTCACAGACCTCCAAGTCTAGCCTATAAGCTATTTTCTAGCTACTCAAGAATTTGCTTTATTAATAATTTAATTGACTTTTAATTAAAGCACAAATGAAACCACTAACTTAAACAGAATTTTGGCAATAAATGTTTATTAGAAGCTGGGGCAGGGAGGAAAAGAAAAAGAGTAAGGGGGAAAAGTGAAAGAAGAGGAGGAGGAAGGAAAAAGGGAAAAGTCTTTAATATCATCTTCTATTGGGGAAAGTAGTTAATAATCCTTCCAAAGTATCATGACACTCCATATTCCAGCTTCAAGACTTAGAAAATAAGATGGTGACTGATTAAGTACAAACTCAAATTTTTGTTCTGTATTTTTTAAAAGAGTACTAGAGATGAAGGACATGATGACAATAGCAATCTCAGGCCTCAGAAAACAACCTATATTCTACTTTCACAAAAGTAATATCAGAAGCAGAGTTAAAAACCTGCATAAAGAGCCTTAGAATTACCTTGAATTACTTCTAAAGATCAACTAAACATGAAACTTTTATTAGGTTTTGGAGATATGAAGATAAAAAATTACAATATTAACATATAGCAAGTATTGTCTCTACAACATAAATACAATCACATGGAGTTATCAATAATAATTACATGATATTGGGATCGTGAAAAAACTACATTACAACTCTAATTTTTTGACAACTCAATAACTGCTTATTATAAAAACTAGTACTCCTTCCTGACAGGTAATTAGAAGTATTTATCTACTTACTCAAAGACCTCTGATGTATCACCAGCACTCCACCTCTTTCCATTTCAAGGTTAGTGTAGTATATGCATATTACCTTGTTAGTAAAGCTAATCAGTAGGCTATGGGGTATTAAACGTAGGAAATAAGTTGCTCTATCAGCCAATATCAAAAATTTAGTTAGAATATCCAAGTATCAGCCTAGTCATCTCTAAGTAGTTTTTTTTAAAAAAATACTCAAATTTTATCCAATAATGCAGGACAGTTTAATACTAGTAGTGTTGGCTTCCACCAACAAAGAGTTTTGTTGTTGTTGTTGTTCAATTTTTGCCAACAAAAATACTAAAGGAATACCAAAACTGATCCATATTACTCTTGCCAGAAAGAGGCAGTTCCCAGAAAATTAGTCTTGCCTCTCAGAGGAGTCAACCTGCCCAAACTCAAGAAAAAGAAACTAAGAATATTTTTTGTAAGAATAATGACAGAGTAGGACTTTTGGAGAGGCAGAAAACGAGATTCAAATAAATCCGAAATAAAATACTGCAAATATGCCAAAATACTATCTGTATTGTCATTGTACTAATTTTTACTAAATGAATGCACGGAATTAACATCTTAATAATTTAACGTATTATACACATCAGATACACGGAAATAACCAATTCTGCTTGATACAGAATTCTAGCATTTTTCATATTTCTTGAATGTCTTAATAACAACAAACTCGAAACTAGGCAGAAGACCCCATATTCCTAAAAGTATCCACCCACTTCATTCTCATCCTTTTGTTGAGAACATTCTTTAAGAAAGGGAAGTACTAATTTGGAAACCAAGTCTCCCCAAAACACTTTGAGTTGAAATAAAATCGCCTTTAATGGCAGAAACAAGCTTTCAAGGAGATATACGCATATTTGAAAGCCCAAGGTTGTTACCAGTTCTGTAGCTTATGAACTTTCTTTTCCAGCCTAATGATGTACCTCTGACACATGGACCAGAGCTCGTCCACTCAAAGGGAAGAGGAGTGGGCATTCCTCCTCCTAAATAAGTTCGGGCATGAGAGTTAAAAGAGGTGCAAGTGAACTTCAAATGTTTCAAGGAACCCTCTTCAAGAAGTGCCCTACGCGACTCCCGTTCCACTCGCCAGACAAAGGGCAGCCTGGAATTAGGAAGACCAGCTAATGCTTGGGACAGGTTCTTGGCCTTTCCTTGCCCGGCCGCAGCCCAGCGAAGGAGCCCCATCTCTCGCCCTCACCTCAGATTTCCCCCACCGCTCTGGCCCGCACAGCACCCAAGCCGGCCTTCTTCCCACTATCAGCTCCAGCTGGCCACACCCCAGGCCTCTCCTTTATCTGGGCCTCCCGCCCCGGCCCCGCCGGCCTCCCTCCACCCCAACCCCAGCTTCACCCCGCTCAGGTGCAGGGAGCCCGCCCCGGAGCGCAGCGAAGGGGTACTCCAGTCGCCGGCTGTTGCGGCAGGAAGCGAAGATGCTTACACGGTAGATGCGGCGTCTCCCTTCCCCCCAAGGCTCCGCCCCCCGTTCCTCCTCCCCACCAATCCGCAATCTTTCCTGGGGGCCGACTCCGCCCCCTCCTCCCCGCCCGCACGACGTTCGGATCAGACGCTCAGGCAGAAAGAGTCCAGCCCAGAGAGTGTCGTCTTGGACCACTTGGCCAAAGCTAGGCCGCCTCCGCCTTTTTTGAGGAAGCCAGGATCACAGCGCGCGTGAGCGTCACGCGTGTGGGTCACCGGATGCGTGCTTGGTGTCCTGGGCACCGGACGGGTGCTGGCTGGGCCGCGGTTACCGTATGTGTTCTACACCGTGAGCACTCTTAATGGGTTACAGTGCTCGGCGTTCTCGTGACCCGGACTTTGACTTGTGTAGCGCCGATCAGTGCGTGAGAACGAAGACGCCGGTATCAGACTTGCAGGACTCCGACCATAGCTAGGCGTATTCTCGTATTCCCGTAGATAAATTGCTAACTTCTTCAGGCGTCAGACCTCTGGTGTGTAAAATGGAGTTAATAATAGCAGTACCCACCTCACATATTTTTTTTTTTTAAGATTACGTAAAACAGTTCATGAAAAGCGGTTGGCAGAGTGCCTGACCCAGAGTTAGCGATGTTGGCTCTAAGCTTTTCATTCAGGTTTTGAGTTGCAGATGCTAAGGCTAGCTGGATCGTCACTTTGGCTCGGTAGAAAACATACCAAAACCTGCTGACTGAAATTGTGAGGCTTGGCAGAGGAGCACAGAAGGGAAAGAAATATAAAGGGAGGTTCTATTTTAATTCAATTCTGGGGATTCTTTTCCTCAAAGAGTTTTGGCAAATCCTCATTCAAGCTTTCTTTGAGATGATCTTTTCAGCTGCTAGAGAGTACCACAGAAATCTGTACTAGTACAAATCCTTGTCACTACCCTCAACTGGGCCCTTCAGCATTCTAGAGAGTATATTCAGCTTCCCCTTCTCATTCTTCATTACTGCCGTGCCAAACACACACACACACACACATTACCTTGACTAGCATTCCCTAGAGAATCTTATCTAACCAAGTGAAAAAGCCAAGGTTACTTTGGGTGCAATCCTTAACAACCTAACCTCCCCGCCACAGCTTTTTCTGCATCCACATATCCACTTCTACCCTGGCCTACCTGGATCCCTCCTCTCTGGTAGAGAGAGGTCTGCTCTTTCCCAGTTCAATCCTCCTGGCACCCAATCTACTCTCCTGTTCCTGGTATCTTGCACTGTATCTTCAACCAATCTTTTCCCAGTGACTCTTTGTTCTCAGCCTATGAACATGCTCAAGTCTCTGCCTTCTAGGAAGAAAAACAAAAAACCCTTTCTTAAATCAGTCCACCATATATTAATATTTCATAAACCTAAAATAAAGTACAAAATAGACCCAGAGAGCATATGAACAAAGTAGTCATTCTAAACAAGAAGACCTTAATGTATATAGAAACTCCATGTAAGATTAAAAAAATAATAATAAAACATCTATTCAACAAAGCACCAGCACAGGGGTGCTTTACCGCTGAGCTATATCCCCAGCCTTATGTTTTTTTTATTCTGAGATAGGAGCTCACTAAGTTGCTCAGGCTGGACTCATTTTCCATCCTTCTACCTCAG